TCTCTCTCTCTCTCATAATATCGTTTTTGTATAAAGGTCAATTGTAGGTCCGAAAATTGTTGTTTTATGCTTTGAATAGCGTTGTACCGAGTGAAACATAGAAAAGAAATAGTATCATGAAATTGGTATCAATCTAACATTTATTATCTAGATGGTAAATATATAAACGTAATTTTGTCCGATAAATAGCGAATTTATGAGTAACTGCCTTGATGCATCACTGAAAATACGTCCCTAGCACGTCCTGTGAAAATACATACCTGATGAATAAACTCCTTTAGTTGAACGCTATTTACACGTACAATTTTTCCCCTGAACGCGCGTAATGAATAATAGCACCGCGATATCGATGTTTATTAATATCTAAATTTCTTAGAATGAGATTTCACTCATTCAGAAAAGCAAAGTGACAGCCGAATCATACGAATTCGAGTTATCCTTTCCCCCTCCTCTCCTTATAGAGCGAATTCTCCACTCTACGAATTGTGGAGTGAACATTTTCACTCCAAATTAAAGAGCGAATCTAATATACTCCAACGTCACAGAAACATATTTATTCTATTTTATGCGCTTGTCGCAACCGTATTTTAAGTTTTGTCGCAACCGTGATATGCTAATCAGCTAATAATGTCACAATATCTCCAATGCATAATCAAAATCCGTGCTCTCTCCGTAAGTCCATGAGTCACGAGCTGTATTTACCTTCGTAAATGTAGTCTTATCGCACATCATTCTCCAGAATCTTGGAGATACCAATAATTACTCGGGATGCTAATAATTACCAACCTACTTTGTGGGTTCACGATACGGAATTAACGGAGCGGAAGCCACGTCGATGGAGCCAAGTCCAGGTGAAAGAGAAATATCTTCCTGTTCTTCATGAAATGCTTACAATAACGGAACGAGTAGTCGCTAGCAATGGTTCGCAAGGATAACAAGATACACAAACATCGAAGATTAAACATAACGTTATTGTGTGTCTGTCTTGTCTGTCTTGTCTGTGTGTGTGCACGCGCGCATGGTATGTGTGAATATCATTGCTTTTAATTATCCTGCATTTAAGTGACCGTATAAAAAACGAATTGCATCACGCGGATCGGCACAAAAACAGTCGACTGCTTTCAATCGTTCGTTTCCGACTTATGTTCACTGCAACGCAGTGCAGCTCGCCTCGAGTTGTCAGGTATGATTGACCATATAACTGAACTTTATAATCAAGAGCGAAATGCATCGCGCGTGTCGGACTTGCCGAGATTTCTTTCCGCCGAAAGCAACGCAAGCTATATGTCACTACGTGGTCTGATATAACTTCCGCGATTTCTCGTAGTGTTGCAATGTTGCGACGCTCGCGCGAGTGTTATTTAACGGCTAGAGGGGGACCACTGCTGTGTATTTATTTAAGTAATACAGTTAAAGGATTTGATCCTTTGAGATCATATTTACTTCAGACATGTACGGATAGTCTGTTAAAAGTGGTTGCAAAAGATTGATGACTGGATGTTAGTCTAAGGTAACTTGTATTTATTTGCTGTTCTTTCAAGCAAGTTTTTTTTTTTATTTAAGGATCAGCAATGATTCAATTTGTTTTTCTTTCTTTCTCTCTCTCGTCCTCTCTCTCTCTCTCTCTTACTTTCTCTCTCTCACAATATGTTATCGATATACAAGCGTAACCCAATTCTTATAACGAAATCTCTATCGCAATAACCAAGTGATTTATACTGAAATTCTAGATAAAACCGTAAAACTCGTAATTTGTTCTCGTAAGACTCGTAAGAACTTATGAGTAGATTTGCAATTCTATGCGGACTGTATGTCATACGATAATTCGTAAATATCTACGATTTCTCGTAAATCTTACAACTAATTAGAAGTTGTCAATAAAGTTACGGTTTGTGAATTTTACCAACATTACGATTGATTCGTAAGCTACGACTTTACGATTTTATGATTTACTCATATATTTGCTTAGAATTGCAGCATTATGCTCTATCGGGGAACAGCTCGTCGAAAGTGAAGTTTTTGACTATCTCGTTGGAAAAGTTAAGGATATGTTTTATAACGATCTTCTCTATGATCGGCTTTATCACCTTGATGATTTCCTGTCGGCTCTGGATAGCAAAGGTCTCACCGATCTTTCGCATTTGATTTAATTGCGTATCGCTAAACGAACTTAAGTCCACCTCGTATCCTTTGATATCAAGATCCAGATTCATATTCGACACGTATACGTGTTCCTTGCCGTCTTTGTTTGTCACGTTGAGATCAATACCCGCTTTCGCTGATACATTATCTGTAAAAGCGATACTATAAACCGGTTGTTTAACGCATAGAACTGGATTTTCGAACTCTCTTCTTTATTGGATAACGCATCTCTCGTGAACGTCTCATTTCTCTTTCTAATTATAGTATATTCTTATATATAAGCAACAATCTTACGTACCTGTAGTAATATGAATCGGTCCCTTCATAGCAATATTCACTATTATGTTCGCGTTGAGGTCATATATTGTGCTTATATTGATTCGCTTGAATTCGAGATCAACGTCGAAGTGCAGCTTCTCGAAGTTCATGTGAAAAAACTTTATATCGTAATTACAGAGTCCTGTAATGTACATGTCATTCAAGAATAGCTTAGAGTTGTCTGCGTTGAAGACTTCAATTCTCTTGATGTGCATTGGCTCGATCGGTTTAACGCTGAGCTCTGGTATACCCTCGCATATTTTACTCTTCAAATTTTCAACGTTCTTCAAAATGCACTCATCGATATTCGGGTTTCTACGTCCACATACGTGAATATAGGAGGCTGCGAAGAATTGCCTTAATTAACTTCGCGAAAATGAACGCGCTCTGAACTATCGTGTAACACTTTTCACAATCGCGTGCGATCGATATTTTAATTTGCCCTTCTCGATTTTGAGCGTATGCTCGATTACGTATCTATATCTACTTACGTATTTCCGCTGCGACGTGCGCTACGACAAACGCCAAGACAAGAGTTGCGGCGAACATTTTGTCTCGGTTGGACATTGGCCTTGCACGAAAATCGATATTTTTCGACGCGATAACGATAACAGTCTTGATGATGGAAAACGCGGCTCTAGACTGTTCTTCGCGAATTGCTCACGCTCGTATTTATATGCATGAATGAATCTATTTATTCTCTCGTCTTGCATTTTCTGTAATCAGTATGTAGAACTGGTTTTTAGAGATATACATGATTATTCACGGCTTCTCCAGGAAGAAAATCACAAAAAGTAAAAGTTAGAATAAAAGAAAAATTACAGTTAGAAATTGAAATTCAAAAAGACACGAGATTAATTGTGTAAATGGAAAATTACGGAAAGCTTGATTTTTTAATTCGTGCGGCTTGTAATGTATTAAGTTATTGTATGATAAACTGATCTGTTAGGAACAAACTGCGTTTAATAGTGCGTAAATTTTGTTGAATATATGTATTTTTAGAAGGATAAAAGGCAACCAGTAGACGTGAATTTTCTATTTATATCAAGACGCTACTTTGTTTCCATTACCAGATTCTTAACTTTTAATTTTTAACACTTCAAATAATTTAATTTAATTTTTAACTATAATCTCGTTTCTCTCTCTTTCTTTTTCTCTCTTTCTATCTATCTATTTATCTATTTATCTATCTATCTATCTATCTATCTATCTATTTATCTCTCTGAACAAAGATCAACGTTGAAAGTTAAGATTGACACATTCACTACTACTCCACAGATTTTGAGAGCTGTCGTTATAAACTAGGTCTCCTGAGTAATTTGTACACAGTATAAAATGTATGTTTTAATCTACGCAAAGAAGATGTGTGATAAAAGCTGATTAGCACATCACGTGCAAACGACATATACGACGTCTAGCCAGGCTCTTATAAAAATATAGATATTACATAAGGGATTGATACTCCATTAAATAAACGTGCGATTTCAGAGGGAATAAACCTTATTAATATACTGACATAATAACAGTTGTCAGTACAAATCTGAATCATTCGCATATTGCATTATTTTTATGTCGATGACTGATGAAGCACTAAATAAAAAATGACTAATGCGCACCAAGTAAGAAATGACAGAATCTGTCATTTCTTATTCATAGTTATTTGCATATATTATAGTTTTTTCAAAATTTATTATGCATATATACATTGTGACGCATGTTTGTAGATTCCCTGAATCGATTGTTTCAGCAGTGACTTTCCGAGTCGAGATTTTACTTCTACATTAGCCCAGTGTGATCCTATATGTCGAGTTTACTTCGACATTGCGTTTCGTAAATAATACTTTTAACTGAATATATTTAATACTTTAATCTCGTAAATAATTTTTTTTTATATATTAATATAATAATATACTTTATATATTCAAAATATAAATATATTATACTAGAATGTAATATATTATACTAGAAATATATTATACTAGAAATATATTACACATTAGTTATAGATATTGAAATATTGAAGTAAAAGTGAATTATATGATGTTGTCGCAAAATGAACTCTGGCAAATCGATTGGAAAGAAAATTCTAAGATAAATGGGACTGTAAAAGGTTAATCTTGCAAATTCCATCAAACTTGAAAAGGAAAATCTTGAGTTATAACACGGTATAAGCAATTGCCTTTTGATACTGAAAGTGATTCATTCACTACGGAAAAAATTTTATAACATCAGTTTTCTCTGCAGTAAGACGACAAGCGCATCTCGTTCGTGAGATACAAGACCTCTCGCTCGAGGTATAGCACCACGCTGACGGCGACACAAGATATTTTTACGTACGCAAAGTTTGCCGGTTCGCGAAGTGGTTGATAAAAATAGTCGTTTATTTGCCTTTCGTAACTAATCATTTACGCCGTGGCGCAATATCGCCAGTACCTTATAAACGTTTAATATATAGTGTGTCAACGTTGTAAACAGATCTGATATTACGATGTAATGAGTCCATTATAGAGATTATTGTCACGAATGTGCGAAATTAAATGAACAGTTTTAATTTTATTGCATCAGACTATGTTTTCAATGTAATATCCGAAATTAATCAATATTACAGATACACTTTAATATTAAAATATCTCAGTATTAAAGATGCATCTTAATATTAAACTCTCAATATTATAGACGCATCTCAATGTTTAAATCTGAACATTAAAGATGCACTCCGATCTTTGAATTTTAATATTCAAATAATAAAATTGAAGATTGTTAAAGGATATTAAAGGATAAAGGATATTGATCAAATCGCGACATGTGAAGACACGTTGTGACCATGAGGATCTCCTACAAAACTGATGAGTACTCTAATGTTCGTTATACGCTTCGTGCCAGGATCCCTGGCTTCTCCGCTAATAACCGGTGCACATTTATTTTACGTCAATGTCGGATTTAATATCTCATACTAGGAAACAGCGTCTGTAGGAAAATTTATGAAGTTGCCAAGTAACGAGAAGTTACGTAAACGACTCTCGTTCAAGACGGTTCTTTTATAACGACTATTCACATCGTTATTCAAACTACGCGCGCGTAATTCGGAAACAAATTGGAAGATGTTCGACAGTGTAATCGAAACAATGTTGCGTGTGTCCTCGAGTCATCACTCCAGAATGGCCAGGCTGAAAACATAATTTATGATTTTTGGTCACGTTAGTGAACTATAGTCGCAATAACGCGCGAGCATGCATACTCGGTAAACACTTGGCAGTGTACATATAAGACTCTATTCATCGCGATTATTGACAATGAATCTACAGTGGAGCTTGGCATATATAATAACTCACTGGCAAAAATAGATACATCGAGAGAGAAAAAAATGGTTAATCAAGAAATAGGAATAGTTATAGTCACGGTGTCAATATCTTCCTATTATCCTAACAAGAAGAAAAAAAATAAAATAACAAGAAGAAAAATAGCAGCAGTAATATACAGACTATTATCATTAACACTGCAATAACACTTGCTATAGAAACGTCTGAAATTTTTATTTAAAAATTTATTTAAAATTTTTAAAATTTTTATTTTAAAATTAAAAATTTTTATTTTAAAATTTAAATATTTTTATTTAATAATATTTTTATTTAATTTTTATTTTTATTTTTTATTTTATTTATTAATTTTTATTTTATATCTTTATTTTTATTTAATTTATTTATTTAAAAATATTTTTATTTAATTTTAAAATTTAAAATTTTTTGTTTCACAAAATTTTATTAAAAATTTTGATTTTATAAGATTCAAACATTTTTATTTCAAGACTTTATTAAAAATTTTCAATTTTTTTATTTATGAGAAACTAAAATCTTTCTGTTCAATTTAAATCTTCAATTAAAGAAATAAGTCTTTTGTTAGCTTGAAAATGGTACATGAGAAATCGCGATGGTTAAACGAATTTAAATAGCGCATTGCACGTGCCAAATTCTTCATGTCGACATCTTAGAATCGTCTAAGGATTTTCTTGGATGCACTCAGAATATTCTGGGACATTTTCCAGGATATGCAAACACGTTGAAAATGATTCCAAGATGTCTTAAGATAGTACTCGAACATGATGTAGTCTCAAATTAAGAAATACTTCCGTAATAAATTAGTGAGAATCGATGATAATCAATATTGATTACGAGGCTGCAACGGACACGTCGGAAATGTAACTCGTTACTTTAACTTGTTCGACGGTTCACGACTTGCACACATGCGTAGATATTTTCAAAGTTGGCCGAGCGGAAAGAAAGGCGAATGGCACAAACGCATAATTAATTGCATCTACAATTACTGCATTTCATAAACAAATGGAAGAATTATGTATGTGTGTGTCGCGCAACTTGAAAATATTTGCCCGATGAAATCGAACAGCAAGTTATTTTATTTTTATACGTAAATAATAAATTATTCCTTCCTTAAGTGTAGTGATTTTACATATGCCTTCTAAAATATGTTGTTGAGAAACATTCGGAGTATTTAGTAGAATTTATCGTGATTGCGAGCCGGTGTCACTTTTAAAATGTCACGCATGCTTAAAGAGTTTGCGTTGAAAAAAAGCCTATTCACGAATAATCATCTTTTTCTCTAGATTTATTCCATCAATGTTATGAGATTCATCAAAACAATTTGCACTGTTGTTTAATGATCTTGTGTCATCTAGCGGCATCTATTGAATCTTATGGAAGTCTTGAAATGATAAGATATGATCGATGGATCTTTAAGCATCTTCCGATATCTTGAAGCCAAATAATGTTTTAACAACAGAAACTAATAGCAATTGCGATGGTTTCAAATCTGATAAATGGAGAGAACTTCTCAGGTCAAGTTGAAGATAACTTGCTTAGTGACATTAGATATGTTGCCGAGCACTGTCATGCATTATCAATAGAATGACATTGTAACATTCTTGGTTCAATGAATGATCTCCCTTGTTTCAACTCGTTTCAGATTGAAATTCAAATTGTTATTAGCGATACACGGGACTGAAGCTAAAAAACGTCTTTGAGATCTTTAATAAAAAAATTCTACTCTTTCTTACAAATTTTTGGATGTTACGATTTCTTGTATTTAAATCACGGAAAGTTGCGGAGAGGACAATTTGATAAATGATCACGGGCATCTATTACTAATTATATTTAAAGAAGATAATTAAAATAGATTGATGCATCATATCACGCGCAATCATGCAACAATCATGCAACTTCTTTAATTAATAACTAAAAATCTACGTGATCATTTGCAAAATGTACAGAACGCTTTTGTTCAGACAGTTTGACGTAATGTACAAGTACATGATAGTAGACAGCTCATTTACTTAATAACTCAGAGTTTTATGTTGAGTGGTCGTTTGAGGAACGGCAGAGGAATTTTGTATTCAGTTTGAAGTTCCATCTGCATACAACGAATGTGTCAATAATTGTCAGACATTCTACATATCTAGACAGACAGAAGTCCGTCAATCCTTCATCAAAACATTTTTCGATATTTTTTAATTGAAAGTGACCTGACAGTGTGACAGATACTGTGAATATTCCAATACAAAAACATTGAACAGCGAGTTGACGAACCAGAGACTGTCTGTCGGCGTCCAGATGGATATGTAGTAAGAAACAAGCTTTACTAGGAAATATATTAAAGATCCCAGTCATTGCGTGCGAAAACAGCGGCGGATTTTGTCACCGGGAAGTGAATTTCGTCGGTCTGACAGAAATCGAGAGAAAACGCAAGGAAACACGAGGGGCAAGTCAAGTGTCCAGCGTCCGAGATTGCCACACGTCTTTCTCACAGACGCGGGTCGACACGTGACTTACACGCACGGGCTTGAGAAGCTTGGAGATCTGAAAGTTTTGTTACGGATCGCGGCTCCTTGACAACCCCATTTTGCGACTTTCGCTAATTCTAACGAGAGCGGCGGCAGGTATTTACCAGGTTTTCCGCGGCGGCTCGCGATATTCGTTGCGTCAGATGTGAAATACGTTCGCGCGCTCGAATTACACGAGAACGTCCTTACTCTGACGAAGATCTTCGGTATTTCTCAAGCTCTTTAAAGGAGTTCCGCGTGATATTTCGCAATCCACGCATACAGGAAGCAACATGATCAGCGCACAACTCGATAGCAGGTTCTGAACAAAAATGAATATGTAATGACAAAACGTCAAGGTCGGGATAGTGCATCTTAAGACTTAATTAGATCGATTCTTGATATCGAGATGCGATGACACATTCGAGGCCATAGAACGACCTCTGTAAAGTGTCACAAAGTATTTCACGGAAACTACGTGATCATTCTCTTTGTTTCACTATTTTTTTTATTTTCTTTGCATCGCAAATGCTTTTAATAACGTCATTGAGGTCAAATTATATCGCGCGAAAGGTAATTATCGAAATATTAAGATAATAGCTGAATTTCTTCTTCCGATGTTGAGTTTAAGTTAAACTTCCTCTCAGAAAAACCTTTCAAACACGTCAAATAAAATACACAGAATTGCAAAAGGATTATATCGTATTATTTGAAAAAGATAATTACCGAAACGTTAAAAGAATAAGCATGTTAAATACTCTTTTCGCAACATTAAGCCTTAGTTGGAAAATTGAGTGAAAATAAAAATACGATTGCTTCCTCGTCCAAATTTGTAGACTCCTTGAAATATACCATGGACACTTTGAAGGTTCGTGAAGACTCGATTAAAAAGCCACGATATATTAGTGTCACGTACACGATTGCTACTAGCTGCGTAGGTTACTTAAGTTATACTACGTCGAAATGTATCTTGTATGTTAATAAAATGATAATTATATCTATGACTATATTTTGATAATGTACTTTGGTCTGTACAGTGCACATATAATATAAAACCTCATAAAATTTTAATAAAATTTTACTTTATATTTAAGTAGTTTTATTGAAAAAGTAATTTTATTGAAAATAAAAGTAATTTTATTGAAGATTTCAGTAAAATATTACTTAAATCTTATTCCTAAAATATCAGTAAATTTTTATTAAAAATTTAAGCAAAATTTAAGTAGAACTTTACTAAAAGTTCCAAATTTTATTCCTTAAATTTTATTCCTGACATCGGTCAATTTTCGCAAGATTATTTTAAAAAGTCCAATAAAATTTTCTTGGAAAATTCTCAGCCCAACCGAGAAAAATATTACTGACGGTCTCATTTTTGTCCCATTCCGTTTTCTTTCTCATCCTAATGACATCACATGCGATCAATCAGTACAGCTACTACCGATGATGGTCAAGAGGTTTGACTCGCATGGCCATGACATGTTCAACTTCTACGTTCCGAATGATGGAGCATACTTCGGTGAAGCTACTGAACTGCAACGAGACATTACGAAATGTCGATGCCGGTTCGGAATACCGGCAGACACGCGCCTGGAAATGCGGCCGTATTACGTCTCGCAGTTTTCCATTCGCTTTTCAGCGTCGCGTCGCGATAAAAGGATTAGTCGGTGGTATTTGGACAAGCACGTGATAATATTCGCGCGAGATCCTGACACGGCTTGGCGAAGTCAGAAATTAGGAGACGAGAAGGAGAGGGATTTACTTCACGACGGCGACCATCACTCGGGATCGGTGAAAAGTGAAAAGTCTGGCACTATCGATACCACGTCGTCACGGCACCCGGCGAAGCGGGCTCGAGGCGTACGCTAGCGCGTGTTTTCCAATCATCATCGATATCGCGGGGTTGGGCCAATGAGCGGCAAGTGGCACGAGGCAATCAACTGGCCGAATGAAAAGGTGTAAAAGGTGTAAAAACCGAGGTTTGCCTGCCTCCCACTCTCTCAGCGATCCGACTTAGACGACTAACCAGTGCACATGCGATGAAACGTCATATCTTCTTTTTAAACCTTGACAAGCAACACCTCCGTCAGTCGTGACCGAACATTGGATCGCTTTTGACCGGCACTATGAACGCCTTCGTCTTTCGCATCTGGTAAATCAATCGTGACTTCTCTACTCAATCATTGTTCCGACCGTCGCGATTTGCATGATTTACGCGATCCCGTCGTGTCAGAATCGCGATTGTCGCTACATCAGAGCTGCCAGCGAAGATTGAAGCTGTGGAACGCAAAACAACGTGCAAACGTTGGATCTCTCTCCATGTTGCAGCGCACAAACTACCGTTATTATTGTGTCTATTATAAGCGGTAATTACGTCAAGAAGATCGAAATGAGAAGCGAGATTTCGCGATTATGTCATCGCGGAACTTTAGTTTGTGAATCAGTGCGTTGCCTTGCGTTTGACAGCTTCAATTTTCGCAAGCAGCCGGATAACCGTCGCAACCGAAACGGTCGAATGCTTGAACGGTAGCTTTAGTTCAATAATGGTTAATTAGTTAACGACAACTGTTTAGTATTTTATCACTTCGCGGACAGTGAATAGTCTAAACTCTAACAACGCGAACTCGAACTCTTTGATTTTGATACACTTTTGTGAGTATGTAGGGTAAATCAATACATGAATAACGGTATATTCCACTTGTGCCCTATCGCTATTTAAAGGTATGATTTACACTCTCAAAGTAAAAAGGACGATTCCACTTTTTTGTGTATTACTCTTAAATTAAAGGAGATAGAAACAAATATTTTTCGAATCAAAGTTTAATAGTAAGTTAAATACTGTATATTGATATAAGCATAAATAAAAAAATTTTTATAATAAAAAAGTATTTTTTTATTTATGCTTATGTCAATTTACAGCATTTGACTTACCATTAAATTTTTATTCCAAAAATTTTTTTCTATCTCCTTTAATTTAAGAGTAATACACAAAAAAGTGGAATCGTCCTTTTTACTTTAAGAGTGTAAATTATACTTTATCAAGTATAATACTCAAGTAATATTCAATCTTTAAATAGTGATAATAAATGAAATATACCGTTATTCATGTATTGATTTATCCTATATACTCACAAAAGTGTATCAAAATCAAAGAATTCGAGTTCGCGGTGTTTCCTTGTAAGAAAAAACCTTGTAAAAGGACACACCATGATCTTGGGAGAATTTTTACAGTGCCTCTTCTTCTCATTGATTTATCAAGCAGTTGCGTAATTACATCTAATATCATAGAATCGTGTATACGGATGTTTTAATAATTCATACAATTGCAAATGCGTGTGTATGAATAGAAATTTTCTTATTGTACCGTACGACGGTCCTTGATGCTAAGAATTATCAATTAATTCGCTTTTATCGTAGGCCGTAGCTCACAGCTAATTATTAAGCATAATGCATTTATGGACATGTTGATTATATTTGGTATGTACTGAACCACCGCGATAGCGCGCTATAAATTATTCATTGGTGTTTGGACAGAAAAGTAAGTAACGCAATCTCTTGCTGATGGAGAGGGGTAGCGCCCTCCCCTCTCCTAAACGAATGAATGCCACCGAATTTAATCTGTAATCATTACGACATAATGATAGACGAACATCCATCTTACATATTTACGTATGTAAGTACGTATAATTCATAATAGATATAATCGTGTACATTATCGTATATAATATGATTATATTATTGATGTTGTAAATAATTAATAATATTATATAATCAATTAGATATTATATAATCATAGGCACACACACACACACATATTACAGAATGCGTAGATTTATATTAATGATATTATATAATCAATTAGATATTATATAATCATAGGCACGCACACATATTACAAATGCGTCGATTCATATCGTTATCCTGTAATGACAGATTAAGTCTCGCGACGTTTATTCAGCGCGTTGTAATATCCGACCGCGTGACGGAACCTTTAATCACGGCTCTCAAGTATTGCACTTCGAGGCGATTGTGCTCGTCGCGTCGCAAATTAAACGTGATATATGATCTGTCCCAATTTTGTAAACGCCTTTTCACCAAGCATGCAATTAATCCGCGCATTTCTGCCGAACGTGTAATTAGCTTGCGTTTTGTTTTTTTTCTCTTTCGGTACACTCGCAACGACCGATGCGTGTCATATGGTAGACTAAAGCTCGTATCAGACTAACAGACTGGACAGGCCAACCCGACTGCTGACTACGACTGTCGACTTTTAAGTCTGGTCTACAACAGATGTCGTAAACCGTAAACCATAAAAATTGGCCAATCATAGCCGATTATTCTTGTAATAGTCGACTATGATTGGTAAATTCTTACGGCTCACAGCTTACGACAACTATTGTAAATCAGGCCTTAGTGAACTAATTACAATGAAGCGACCTCCACTGTGATTGATCCACTAAGAGTCGATAGTCGCAGTCAGCAGTCGAGTCGATCTGTTCAGTTGGTATTCTGACACAGTTTATAAGGCCTATATTAATAGTAATTATTTAAAGTTTGTCTCACGTAAGATATTTAGATTTTCATTCAGAATTGAAGTTTTTTAGTTGAATTATATGATATATGCAACATTATATTTGTAATCGCGATGCAACTGAAGAACTTCTATCCAACTCTGAATTCGAGTATCTCATTCGAGAGAAGTCCCAAGTAATGACCACTAATGCGAGTTAAAAGTTCACACGAACATGCGTAACTAAATGTCGCACTGAAAAAACGCGAAAAAACGCACTGATGTCTCACGTCAATTACACTTCGCCTATAGTCAGAGATATTTTTTATTTCCTTTTTTTTCCCCTTCTTTCTATTCTTTTTCTACTTCTCCGTTGTTTTATTTCTTCCGTAACATTACGTACCAACAGATTAATAATAATTACTAATAATTTGGAATAGGAGTCGCGTCAACATTTCGAATTCTAATCATACTAAAAAAGGACTAATTTATTCTCTGCGCGTTTCACCGTCAAAGCTCATGCTATCCTTTTGTCATGTAACTTTACATTATTTGTCGGCAGTTAAACTACGCCACTGAATTAATTGACAACTTCAAAATTTAAATTTTACGACCTAGCCATTACTTTCATTAAGGAATTTTTACGAACATCTATTCAGGTTGATATTAACAAATAAGGTTATCAGAATAAGATCAAATGACACATTATCGAATTCTACTAGCTCTTTTAATCTCTGTTTTTTAATAATTTATATTTTTATTTCCTTTTATGCTCTTGGAATTTCAATTCAAGTTCAAAAAGCTTCTTTGACGTAATCACTCATCGTTTTTGCTCCGAACTTTTTATACGATGTTTACAAATCTTTAACTTTGTGCATTTACTGATTCACTCATTTGAAATTATGATAATTGAACGATCGTAACGAAACCTCGTCTATCTTCTAAACTTCGGCAATTTCAGAAAGAAACTCATCGCCCGGTCAAAGTCTAAAATTTGCAAGGCAATCAAGTTTTTTATTCACATGCTGAATACTTCATTCCAGCGGAGCACGGCAACTCTCAACTCTGTTACGCTTCTTTCTTCCCGTCTTCTTTTAACTACTCAATGCATGAATAAAGATAGGCGTATTGCTATTACACCACGTCGTTTCGATATGAGACTGCACGATTGAGAATATGCGTTTTTAGTCGCGTTTGTGAATAAATACTAAGGAAAAACAAGTAAGAAAAATCGCAAAAACAAAGATTTTTTATTACAATAGCAACCATGTATATCATTTTCAGCAAAAATAGCATGATGTAAGTTTACGTAACATATTATCGATCTAGTTCTGCACTGAATAACATAATCGTCTTGCGCGATTTTCTTGTGACGCGTGGAAGTTTATTAGAAAAGCAACTAATTTTGTGTCTACACAAAATTATAGAAGCACGTGTTAGATGGATTGAGATATTTCATGTATCAACAATAAAAAATTATTATTAATTTTTCAAAAACGTATAAACAGAAAAACACTATTAATTTCTGCTTTTTGATCTGGATATTATGTAAGACATGTTCGACAAAATTTGCGCGCCGCTTAAATTTCCTCTACTTTTTTCTTTTTAATATAAATATACCGGCATATTTTTATAATGATAATGACACGATATAATTATTTATAATTATCGGATATAATTTAATTTCACGTATCGAGTGGTAAAAAAAAAACAAGGACATAAAACTTGTTATATCTCTTCATAGTGCATTAAACTTATGCAAAACGCATAAGTAACTACTAATGTTCCGCTCACTCTGAATTCTATATACATAGAAATGGAATATTAAACAACAAAAAAGAGCGTTTTGCCTCTATTTACAGATTATTATGACGGGAGAACAAAGTTAGTTCGAGTTAATTGTTAAATATTCAAATTAGCTTCTTCTTATCAGATAAAACATACTTGTTTCCCCGTGAACACTTTTTGTACACAAAATTTAAATTAAATTAAATGCGCAAAGTTATATTTTCCGATAAAAGCGGACGGATCTGTTTTTCCCCTGTAACAAATATCATATAAATAATGTGAATCACGTAACTGCTTGTTGTAATGTTATGAGTTATCGTACACGATAATTCTTCTACTTATAAGTCGGGCCCGCATTACTGTAAATCGTCAATTAATAATGCAAATAATGTAATAATGCTTATACATAGCGTCGCTCTATTAATAGTGTTATCAATAGTAATTAAAATGTGACGTGCATGTCGAAGAACTCGTCCTAAAAATAGCGACACTTCCGACGGCTCACTTCAGCGAATCAATTAAGAATTTCATGCAGCATTAAATATTAACTATTCAACCTCACCTATTAATTGACAATCTGTTTTGTTTTTCTTTTTCAGCCTCGCCAGCGCGTTGATTGCAGTAGCCTTTGCGGACATACGTGAGTATTATTATGGTCAATCGAAGTGTACCGTTGTACTTGACGTGGATCATTTTCTTCCGACGTAATACGTTGCGCTCGATTGTGCACAGCCCAACTGATTGAAAGTATCGTGCACGGGAAAAATTGTTCGCGTCAATTGCCTCGTTACGTCGTGAAACAACCAATACGCGGTATTATATATTATTATGCGCGAGCATATAATAACATGTATGTGATAATAACATGTATCGCTTTCTAGATCATTCGTGTAACAATTGCATATTAAAAGTGCAACAAGAAATTTATTGCCAATTGTTTATTCCATTTCTTTTTCTTTTTTCTTTGAATATATTAATTAATACTTGATGTAGCAAAGGAGAAAAAAATATGCTGTCTCTACTTCATGAAATAGGAGAGAATTACTACGAAACACATGAAGAGAGATAATAAATAAAACGCGTCGCTCAGAATTTACTCGAAACGTTCGCTCTACAAGCAATGGAAAAAAATACTGCGTATTGTGTAAAAGTTGAGTTGTACAAATTAAATTGTTTCGAATATAATTTAAAGAATATAATTTATACAGAGTGAAGCACGTAACTGGAAACAATAACTTCGTCTTGGAGATTCAACGATCGTTGCACGCAAAACACAATAAATTGGATAGTAGTAGTTTGGAGGTCACGTTACTTAATATAATTGAGTTTTTCTCTTAATATTATCTATGACTTTTGTTACAGAATAAAAATTGATATCCATTTAAAACACTAAAGGTGATATTTTGGAAACAACAAGTGATAAGAATAATTTGAATAATACACTACATAGTCTACTTCGAATCGTGCAATATTCTTTTATCAACTTTCGCTAAAATCAATATTTAAAATGAGATCAAAGTGCTTGTTATTTTATATGCTTCACTCTGTACAAACAAGTGCAAGAGTTCACTCAGTGCAAAACAAGAATCGTAGTTTGACGAGAAACGCATCGTCACGTACGTTGCGAAATGAAGAATGACAAAGAATTTTTCAATTATCACCTGTAATTTATCACCTGAGAAAAACGCACTAATCGGGTAGTTTTTCACATTTTATCGTCTTCTCGGTTTCTTCATCATGTTTATTCAATGTAATTTACCTCATTAATTTTAGATATAAATATAAATTAAATTTTTATGATTTCCGGGACATTAATTACTCCCAAGTAGTTATGTAACGAGATTTATCTTCAAGGACTGAGTAAATTATATATTTATAAATTTCCTTCTCACGTCATTAAGGGGAGTTAATAATAACAATTACTGATTTATGCTTCGTTAGATGTTTTTAATACTCGTAATGATCAATCGTGATATTTATATGGTGCGCAATTACGTTGTAATGGCTCGAAATGCTGAAGCGAGCTCGCTTGATTAACGTTCCTGCGCGTTTTGCAGCGTCCTATATAAAGACATGCAAACGAAACGATCCGGATGCAAATAAATGTATCACCAATTCGATTGAACAACTACGAGACAAGTTAAGGACAGGAATTCCGGAACTGGATGTTCCATCGATAGAGCCGCTCTTGCTGAAAAACTTGCGCTTGACGAGAGGCCCGAATAGCGCGAGTCTCGATTTGAACCTCACGGATATAGAGGTTAGTACATTCAGGTCTGTTATTAACTCGTTACTTGAAGTTTGTTTCATGTGAAATGCTTAGACTTGAGTTTAACCTTTTCGGAAACACTGATACATGGTGTATGTTTAAGTATACACCCGATCTTTCTTTCTTAATTCGAGAAAATATAACGAACGTTATTGCTAAATATTAAATAAAAAATCTCAAGAAAAAGAAATCTCGCCACATAATTGACAGATGTTATATTTATGTCACTTCAAAATTAAATTATTTTCTTTGGATTTTAATAAATTCATTCCTCAAGAGGTTGAAGTTAAAGATACGAGTGTATAATGTCAAGTACTCGTCAAGTAAATTATCATATAATTCAATTAAAACATTCAGATCTCTATTTGATTTTTTAGGCTTTCGCGGTGTCCATGCATATTAGTCTCCTGATGAATCAGGGGTGAATTCCGTGATGAAGCGGACTAAAATGTTCGCGAAATGTCGGAATCAAACAAAGATGAATCCACGCGGCTCAAACCCGGGAACCAAATCTAATATTCAGATCTCTAAATAAAAATTCAAATTCGAGTGTTTCACATGATACAAGGGGTTCAAGTAGTGACTATTAATATGAATCTAAAAGTCACATATGTATCGATACCTGTAACGTAATGTGGATAATCCGACGATTCGACGAGAGAATCCGTACAATCGATCCATGTATCGTCGGACAATGCAAAGCACTTCTTCATTAAACACTCGGCGAACAGGTGTATGGACCGTCCACATTCAAGATCGACGATCTGAATGTTGACACGAACAAATTGCTCTTCACATACACGGTTAAATTCGACAAACTCGAGTTCCGAGGAAAATACTCGATTAACGCGAAAATACTGTTGCTGCAGCTGAATGGAGTCGGAAATGTTACCGGATATTTGCGTAAGTTGTATCATTCTTTCCTATAAAGTATCCGTCATTTCTTGTTAAGACATCGAGAGATGAGAAATGCTCATCAAGACAAAAGAGCGACGAAAAGAGACACCTACGTTAATATCTAATCTGTCATGTGCCTTTTATAGAGAATTACGGCGGTAAAACCTATATGAAGGCTAAAAAAATCCGCAGGAACAATAATACTTATTTGCAGTTTGACAAGATGAAACTGGTCATACGTATAGCCGAAACCCATATCAATTTTGACAATTTGTTTAACGGTGACAAAGTTCTCGGTACGTATACAACGTTAAATTTATATTTTCTCTTCATATATACAGGATGTTAGTTAAGTATGTTGTCATACTCAACAGAGCGATTCTTTAGTTTATTTCAAGTAAAAAAGTTCATATAAACATGTGTCCTAAACGGCTTAGTTTCCGAAATACAGGTGAATGTTCGCAAATGTTTGACGAAACGGTAAATTACGTTGGAGATATCTTCCTGTATAAATACGTCTTGCTTCACGTAAATTACTATTCGCACAATCGTAAACAAAGTGACAAAATCAAAGTCAAAGTCATAAAATCAAAAATAGACTTCAGTTCTGATGTTGCTGCGGGTGGGTTAGCTTGTGCATACGTTTTCGGGCCAAATTGTTTCAGTCCATCAAAATCGGTTTCATCATAGCTAAGTTTACAAATTTTGACATGGCAGATATTCACTTTGCCTATGGTCTTGCAAATGGTAACTCACGTGAGGCACGGCGTATTTATGCAGAAAGATATCCCCAACGCAATTTACCATGTCGTAAAACATTTGCGAATATTCACCGCTATCTTCGAGAAAAGGATTCTTTCTTGTAAAGAACACTATTGATCTTGGAAAGCCTATGTTAGAACACTAGTACTGGAGGAAGCTGTTCTAAACGAAAGATTACACTACACGTTAACAGACTATACACGTTTAAATTTTTTTATTTCGGAAACTAAGCCGTTTAGGACACATGTTTATATGAACTTTTTTACTTGAAATAAACCAAAGAATCGCTCTGTTGAATATGGCAACATACTTAACCCTTGAACACCACACTATGTCCGCCACCCGATTACACCACACATGGGTTAGTCTCACCTAGCGTTTTAATTCTCCTGTATCTTGAGATGTAATTCACGGATTTAGGCTTTTTTTTTTAATCGATACGCCCGACTCTGAGAAAGCTTAATTCACAGGTAAAAATTCAATCAAACTTTTAGTATTCGAGCTATATCGAAAATAATGAAACAAAAATTTTTTTATTTAAAAAAATCGATTATTTGTTCTTAAAATGGTATCTTTTTTTGAAACCATCCATTGAGGTTTAAAAGTACAGAAATCGAAAGCTATTAAACTAAACATGAAGAAAAAAAATATTTCATTACGATTAGTTCGGAAAAAAACATTTGTTCAGCGAGGTAAAGTTGGGTAAATTTTGACTGTTGCAAAATGAAGTTTCTATCTGAAAAATCGTATTGTTCGTAGTATACAATGAAATTAATTCCTGTAGCATTGATTATAAAGTGTCGGCTGCAATTATGTATATGTATATATACGATGTTTTATATATATATATATATATATATATATATATATATATACACAATGTTAAGCGAAAAAAGAGAGAGAGAGAGAGAGAAAGAGAGAGAGAAAAGAGAGAAAGAGAAGTTCAAGACTTATAAAATAGATAGTACTCACTAAAAAAAGAATTAGGTTGGTCAACCAATCTCTGATGAAATATGAACGATTCAGAAATCCTTACTGAAATCCTGTTTGTTAACCAGAAATCTTGATAATTTCGACTAAATTCTCATAACTTAAACCGGAATTTCTGAATGGCTCATATTTCATCAAAGTTTGATTAATCCAACCGAACTCTTTTTCCATATGAATGAAAAATACTTAGTGAACATGAGTGTTTCACGAAGTGTTTCTTACTCAGTTCAGTAAGTACTGTCTATCACACGAGTTGAATCCTTTTTCTTAACACCTTGTATATTTCTGTTCTCCCGCTCCTTTTTCTTACATATACATGCACGTACGAAAGCACGCGTATATATATCCGTAAAATCGTACATATAATCGATTTATTTTCTCTCAAACTAGGACAAGCCACCAACGAGCTTCTGAACGAAAACAGTAACTTGGTCACGCAAGAGATTACTCCCTTGCTGGAAGATTCCTTGGCAAATCTCTTCACAAATGTCGCCAACAAAATCACCCAGACCTTCACATACGACGAATTGTTTCCGATTGATTAACCCCCGCCGACCCTCGTCTCCCGGATCAATCGAGCTACATTGTTTAGTTAATTCATTGCGTTAATTCTTAAGCCGTGACAATCGGCGAGTTTGCACGGCGACAAGTTCAATTCTCACTTATTGTTCTGTTTTTTTTTTTCATTTGTATTGTAATATTATATAGTGTGTAATTGTAACTATATATAGTCCTAATGTACATTGCGAGAGAACTTTTTGGTTCGGATTATGTCAAAGGTGTAGATCGTCGTGCAAGTGCACATGTTAAGAGATGTGCAATTGTAAGGCAATTGTACTTTATTTAAGTTCGTTACATATCAAAATCACGCAAAGTCTACCCAAACTTCCCGAAAAACGCGATGCGACTGAGAGGAGAGACGACGCGTTTCAAATTGTACGCTTCGAATAATCGTTTAAATAACGCGGATGGAGCCACACGGGTCCACAAGTTCGCGAGTAAGTTTGGGTGTTGTCGCGTTTAATAAGATTCGAAGTAACAATGAGATACATGTGCAAGAAAGTAAAGAGATGTAAATAACAATTTCTCAAATAAATCTAGGAAATCAACACGGCTGATCAACTCGCGTTTACTTCCTACGCTCCTGCCACGAATGTGAATTAACATCTTGATACTTTCCACGAACGAGAGTGAAAACGAACGACGTCTCTCCGTCGCGAGCGCGCTCTCTGCACGAGATTGAGCTCGCGAGGCGCACCCGAGATCAATTAAATATAAAAAAAATATATATATATATCTCGGAAACAAAATTAAGAAAAAAAACAAGACAACAATCTCACACGCCTCGCCGACGAACGGCGAAAATCGCATGACGTACAATGAAAAGGAAAAAGAAAAAATGAATGAACATACATTATAAGTATATGCCAATCATCTCACTGAATCGGCTATTCCTCATCGTTGTGCTAGGCGTTCTACTTTTTCATGAAAGTCGAGCCGAGAACGAAATTCGACTACTTAATCAACTACTAGAGGATAAGTTCCTGCTTGGTCAGGACGCTGAGTGCTCTAGCTACGAGAGCTCTGCTCACTGTCGCGGCTGTGTCCTCGATAATTGGACTGGCTATGTCCAGGACTAGTCGGGGATTCGCGTTGAAGAACGTCGCAGCGGCGTCGGCTAAAACGAACGGATACAAATAGGCGGCTATATTCTAATACGAAATAATCGAGAAGACGTTAATCGTAAACAAGATACAGAAAAAGCGTTGAAAGAACTTCACCTCTTTCGTGAAAGATATCTAATACATCTGCGTGCTTTTTCCATAATTATCCCTCGCCAGATGCATTTAGAATATAGATTATAGGTTAGATATCAGATTAAAGTAGATTGGACTGATTGGGTTTGATTAGCGACACTTTAAAGATTAGAAGTGATTAATAAAATCAGAGGCAGGTTAGAGCTGTTAATTTCTGTGACCGTCGATGCGAATTTTCAGAATGTGATTCTCTTACCCGCTAACGTGTGGACGGAGGGAGCTTTCAGTTTAATATTCCCGTTGCCGACGCGAATCTTGGTGACCAAATTGTCCATCTCGATCCTCTGCACGCCATTTTTGTCGGTGATCTCTTTGCCTTGCGCGTTTACTTGGACTTCGGTGTCGGCTTAAATGGAAAGACAGCGAATGCGAGAGACGTCACGTTAGGTAAATTACGCATTAAGTGGTCAGACATGGCTCGATCGCGTCGCTTTCTCATAGAACATTCACGCGCGCGCGAGCCTCATTTGGAATTATTACGTTTAAAGTACTTTAACGTACAACACGTTCCATTGCGCTAGAATGCATTTCATTACACTACTTGCGATGAGTGCGACAGTGAGTGAAATATGCAAAGATGAATGAATAAATATATAACCGGCAGGTCTTCACCGCACACGTGAGAATATGATACATTTGACGCGAATCTTTCGATTTTGCGTGTTACTTTGAGATAGATATCTTTATGGCTGTAAAATATACTGTAAAAATCTGTATACTGTAAAAATACTGTATATTGTATACTGTAAAATACTGTAAAATAGTGTAAACCAGAAAGGGGTATATGACTCCAATCCGCGGTGAAGACCCATCTAAGGGAAAGTAAATTTATACGAACACGTAGAATAAGCGAATCTATTTCGAAACAGCACCTATTTCGAAACAATTTTTATTTTTTTCCTGTATTAGCCTGTATCAAATAATATAAAATTTTCATATTAGAACACATTCTTTGTTATTAACATGAAAATTTGATATTATTTGACGGCTAATATAGGAAAAAAATTAAAGTGTGTCGAAATAGGTGCTGTTCCGAAATAGGTTCGCTTACTCTATCTCGAACTTACTAAAGTTCCCCTTAAAATTGCCAAGCCCAGTTAAAGGTACCAGCAGCAACCTGCCCTGCACATCGTAGTCGCCGTTCACGTGCACGTGAGGCAGCTGAGCCCTGAGGGAGACCGTCAAGTCGTTGGGATTCGCTTTTAAATCGCGCACGACGTAATTCGTGGCGCCGTAAACGCGAATCTGAGTCAAGTTGGCCTTGACTTTCAGCGAGTCCAGGTTCCTGTCCACCGTCAGGGAAGGCAGGAACAGCGGGTCTAACGCCGGCAATTTCAAAGAGGGCACCCCCTTGGCGAGGTACGGCGTCAGCGCTTGCAACTGCTTCAAAACGCAATTGTTGAACTCCGCCAGGTTGTCCGTGCGCGGACAGGCCGTCACCCCGGGAGCTGAAAGTATCGCTCGCATTCAATCGATATTGGCGTTAATAATTATCGCGATGAGGTAGGACTATCCATAGAATCCAAAAGTCGTGAATTAAAGTTCACCAAGATCGCTAACGTACACACGCGAATAACTGTCCATGTGTATGCTTTTGCAAGGTTTTATCAAGCCAAGTATCTATACATTTTCATGCGTCACTAAATCCATTTGTCTGTCAGAAGAGAAAGAATATTATTGAAAGAGCCCAAGGATCGCGAGACTGAAGCTCACCGAGATCATTAACGTGCAGAATACATATTTGTGTGAATGATTTTGTGAGGTCTTATCAAGCCAGATATTTGGACACATTTATGCGTCACAAAATTCCGTTTGCTTGTCAGAAGAGAAAAATCAAGATTCAGATTTATTCAACTTGCAAATATAGTCTTGGAAGCCGCGGTGTGATGGATGTATCCGAGACTTTCCCACGAATATGTCCGTGCCAAATTCCGAGATGTCGACGTCGTCATGTCAGAAAAGATAGGCATTAGGTGTTTTCGAGGACGATGCAGGCTGAACAAGTGTTGCACCCTGCTGCAACGTCGGGTAAGCGAGCGCGGTAAAGGTAAGAACATGCCGATGACTAAGAGAGCGGCTTTTTTCCGGCCAATCGGTCGGCCAGGCCTAAAATCGAAAGTACACGGTAGTAGAAAGTGGAATTACGAACTGGCGACTGGCGAAGGAGTCTTTACTCCTTTTCTTTTTTTTTTTATCGACGGATTTATTATACGGCGGATGTTTGTGGGTGCCGTACGGTACATCACACGGTGGGCAATCGGCGAAGAATTAGGTAGACCAATTTACATAGAAGAAGATGGGCTGATCTTGTCAACGTAGAATGAATTTTGCTCACGAGTTGCAGTATCGCGATCTATGAAGTAAAAGATCGGCTATAATTGTGCTAAGAGCATTTTAATTTGAGAAGTATTTGAAAGAGTGCTTCACAAGAAATCGAATAAGAAGACAAATCCTATTATTAATTCCTTCTTAATAATTATCGATTCGAAGCCCAAGTATCTTTTGCTCGAATATTAGAGTCGTGACAAGTGTATCTTCAATCCTACTTTCTTTTTCTACATCTACCTATTTCGAAGTTAATTATGGATGGCCGGGATATAATTTTGTGAATGTTACACAAAAGAAAGAGTTTGCTGAAATCAACCAAATGTCTAGTAAAATATAAACGAGTCACAGAATTCCGGTTTGAGTTAAAAAGATTCTGGTTAACCAAAACTTCAACTTGAACAGTTCTGGTTGATCAGAAACCTGGTTTGGTTAACCAGAATCTTATTAACTCAAACAGAATTCAGCCGGAATTCGTTCATATTTCATGAGAGATTTGGTTGATCCAACAAAATCTTTTTTTCCGTGTACTTCTCGTTGCGGAGTTGCACATAAACACATCGCGAGTCCGAAGAAGAACGAGCGGGGCAGTTGGAGGATTTGTGTAACGTCGAACAGGTGATACGTGTGTGCGTGACAGACGGCGAGCTTCTTGCGGCCGATGTAATGATAGTAATCAATACTGGAAACATAAAGCAACGCGTTTTCGAGTTTCTCTCGAAACAAGAACGCGCTCGCGATTATATCGTCGGTGTTGCGCGCGGATAGGAGCGCCGAGCGCCGGCAGGAAAAGTATTGCACAAGTAAAAGTGTCCAGATTAAATTGCAGATTACATTGTGTCGCGTATGCGACATGTAAGAGTAACGATGTCGTTCCACGTACGGCGAATAAATACGCCCCGTTCGATTTTCCTTCGACATTGTGTCGTAATACTTCCGGGATTTCTACTGACGGTTTCCCGGTCGATGACACTCGGCCACGCCACGATAAATTATGCATCCACGAGGTCTCGGGCATTTTGTGCGCAGGGTTTTGCGCAAAAGCTAAACCACGACATGCGCCGATATTACTGCATGCCGGAATGCGCAATACTCATCCGGACGAAACGGCCGGTTTCGCGCGCGTCCGATAACCTCACATTGAACGAGAAGCCTGAGTAATGCCTATAAATTAGCTGCACACGATGGTCATTGCGAGTTAGCTGTTGGAGAAACTGCAGCGACAAATTCGTAATTAAGTCGACTAAGAGATCTCACACGAACGGTATTCGCGTTAATGATTGAACGAAGCATTCGGTGCGGCCTTCAATTCACTGATATAATCTCGTTTTATGTTCGACTCGCGTCAATTGCAGAGTTTGATCACAGAGAAAGAGAGAAGAAGAGAGAGAGAGAGAGACTTGCGACAATTATTTATTCAACAGCCATGCACGTATTAACATTGGAAATACGCTTCAATGCGTTCACGTGTTTCAATGCGACAACCGGCTCAAAGGTCCACCAGCGCTTATTCCTCTCGTAAAAAATCTCATTCCTGAATAATGATGTTAATAATAACAATGCCAATATCTGGATGAAAGAATAATAATTCGGAACCTGTTGCTTGAAATTTTTACGAAATCGTTACGCAATATGCTAATCGTGGAAATAATACAAGAAAGCGAATAAACATCATTAAATCAACGTAAGTGGCGACTTGAAGAGAAGTGGGAGAAAGAGAAAAAAACAGGAAAAACTGGACATATTATACGCGAGCAATAGACGAGTTGTTTATCATTTCCAATCGAATAAAAGAAACGCCATTGTCATCGTTATCAATAATGCGCTAATTATTCGAGATGTATCTGTAGTCCTGAGGAGCAGAACGAGAGCGGCGAACTTACGTAACTGCGACGCGGCCCTGCCGATCCATGCGACGATCAGCACGATTCCGATCAGCATCATCCTGCCGAGAGTCCTCATGCTCGATGACCGGTCGTCGGTTTCGACTCGATTGCCGGGGTGCCTTTCACGGGATGCCGCGGGATGCGCGCGAGATCGCAATTAGCGACAGCGATATCGAAAATGCGTGCGATGGCCCCGTCGCGCGGGTATATATAAAGTAAGTGCACTTTCTCCGCGTGGTAGAACCCCACCTCGGGCGTATCCACGATGGAGACGGTGAATTTATCACGGTAGAATGCCTCCTTTTAACTCAGTCAGGGCCGTAGCCAAGCGCGGCGACACGCAGAGACATGCTTACAGGTACAGAGGTGTTACGCGCACGCACGACGCTCGCTGTGTCTGCGTGACATCCGCCGGAATTTACGGGAAGCCGCGAGGAAGACCCGGGGTCACAATCTCGCGCCATCCCCGCGAACAGCGGATGCTCTCGCGCGCGGGCAAACGCCAAGTCCTCATCAGAGATATTCAAGGATGAAGAGGAGCTGTGTGTCGCGTGGCTGCTATGATTACATATCGCGCTTTCGAGGCGGGATTGTTGACTTTCGAAATGCCGTTGCAGCCACCGCGAAGTGCCATTTTATCGCACACGACAGCCACACAGATAATACGGCGGTCCTCTGACAGAGATCTTTGCTCGTGAAATTAACGCGACACTAACGCGAGCGATTTCGCAAACCGAGATGATTCGCGCGAAGACTGAGGATAGCGATTCTCTCGGGCCACCGACACGACGTGACACGACGTGGGCTCCTCCTCGTCCTCCTTGTCTTCTTATTTCACATTGCAGAGAACTGCGATGTTTTAATAGATTTTCAGTTTTATACTTTGTTATTGTGTACTCATTTTGATAATTTGATTGTTTGATGTCATAGAAGTATCGTGCTCGCGAAATTAACGTGAGAAATTTTTTAGCCGAGATTATTTGCGCGAAGTCAAGGATGGCGGTCTTCTCGGGCTGATATCTATATCTCGCTGACGTTACGTGCCTATCTTACTGATTCCTTCTCTACCTATTTTACATTACATTGAGGACTGCAATGGACCTTCAGTTCTAGTTTAAACCCCGTACTTTACCGCTGCGTACACGCATGTTGATGATCTGTTCATGTCACAGCGTTTGAGGGAATCACACCCCGGGGCACTAAATAAATGACGCCTTTTCTCTCTTCCTCTCTCTTCGCTTGCGAGTCTAGCGACTTTCTGACTTGTTGCTCTTCTTGTATCTCACTTTCCGCACGCCTCAACAAGGCGCGAACCGGTCTCTCGCTGTGCAAATTTATCGAATATTCAAGATTCGTCTCGTTCGCGCGACGAATTCTGCATCGTCACACCTTGACACTGTTACTCTCATGTAGCATTGCCGTGACGTAACGGTGCAAAATGTCGTTCCTCAGTCCATCGCTCTTCTCCTCAACGCGGCGAGCGCACCGTAGTCATAACGATAAACGCCAGAGACGATCGTTTTACCGCGAAAGGTGAGACATTTTTTTTATTTGAATTCTAGCTCACGGCAAGATTGCGAGACAAGTGGTGTAGGAAGAGAGGAGAAAAGAAAAACCCGTCCGCGTGCTGCTAAGTAGCGCGGCGGCGCAACGCTGACGAGCGTTCGAATCGCTGCGCGATTACGCAATTTCGGATGCATAATAAGATGTGGTAATAAGTGTTATACATGTAAGATTAGAATTACAGCTCGCGCGCGGGAAGATGGGTGCAATGTTACATGCTGGCCATTACGATACTCGTAAGTTGCAAATGTCAACAAAGACTTTCAGGCCATAGGCCATGGCTGCGATCCGAACGCGTCTCTCTCGCCTGGCCGGAGAGGAAGAGAGAAGTCACTCAATCGTTAAACGTAAAATCTCGTCGAGGAGACTTTTTTTTCTCTTCCTCAATTCGCCGCCAGCGGAACAACCGTGTAGCTTTCTAACGCCATTACTAACACCGGCGACTCGATGTACGTCTTAAACGTTTAAGAAATTAATGGTTTCATGTGTGGAGATTCGCGAATACAACGCTGCGGTGGCTCACATACTGGTGACTGGTAATACATACAGCTGTCGCTAATTATTCTCAATTTCTCTGCCTCCCGCTAATCATTCGCATTCTATGCCTGTCCTCAGTGATTTCTACGATTGGCTGAGATTAATGACGGCAATGATCGTCTCGAGTGCGGATTGTCATTAGGATAAACGCGGCGTCCTTGTCGCCGGTCTTGCGCAATCCCCTCGCATGCAGCGCGAAACAAACGCAAATAGCGACGGAACAAAAAGGGAATAATTGAGAAGTCGCGTCGGTGGAAGGCCGTCAATAAAAAGCGGATACGCGAAATCTACTTGAAGATTCTTCGAGGAATATTTGCGCGCGAATTGGCGTGGTTCCTCCAATCGTACTGCTAAATGAACGAACGAACAATTCGCACGACGTAAAAGTAAAACTAGCTAGTGCGTGGAAGCGAAGACTACAAGGCGACTTTCCCCCTAGTACCAGGAGAGTCAAGAGTGTTGCGATTACTAGAACGCTCCAAATGAAATTACGTAAAGATTAAGGAATCGCCTGTTCCGTGAGTGAGAAGAAAGGCGTCGTGGAGTTGTTTGTACTTTTGCTGTTAGAAGTCACTTTATTCGTCACATACAAGTTTCGTTAATCCAACTCGAAAATGCATAAATATGTACGTGCGCGAGTAAAGAAATAATGAATGCGCGAGTCGCAGTGCCGGTGAGTAAAGCAAAACACTCGAAACGCACGGCAGACTCGCGAGCAGATAAATAAACGCAGACTCACTCTCGAGGAAATAAATAAATAAATAAAGTAGCATAAATAAGAGAGAGTAATAAATACACACTGAGAGAAGAAAAGCAATTAGATTGACAAAATCGGCGGTCAGCCTTCAAAGGAATATTGCATCTATTGAACAAATTACGCAACAAATTAATGCAACAATAAGCTGTGTTGTTGACCAAATCGCAATCATTGAATCGATTGATAATGCATCACAGCAATTGCATAATTCGTTCAATTGACTATATGCTTGTTTGAACGAATTCTGTTCGTTCAAGCAAGCTGTCTCATTAACTCAAACACACTTTTCTTTTTCAGTGCACACGGCAGGAAAGTTGCAATAAGGCGCGCGCGGGAAAATCAGCCGGGAACGAGCCCGACCGCTCAATCAGGCGAATTGCTCAATTGCCCGGTAGATCTTTGTACATCCTGTAGATGACCGCGTCGGCCGTTTTCTCGCTGAGTCCCTTCGTGGCGAAGTCGTCGGCGAGCATCGCGGCGACTGCCTCCGCAGCCATTAAACCTGCGGAGGAAAGCCAACGTGAATGAGAGATTAAGCGCGCGAGTTGAGACGGAAATCGAGCTCGTCATGAGACACGATCAGTTCGCCTTCTCCAGAAACCGCTCGCAAGAAAGCGAGGACTTTTACTCTCTCGGATCGTGCTCGGACCGGCCGACCAATCGATCGATCGATCTATTGACATCCCGTGATGTCGCGCGTTCTCTCTCGCTCCCGATCGAGAAATTCCTGTAGCACGTGAATAATGTACACGGGAGCCAGATAGAATTTAGAATTGTACTATTCTACCTGGCTACCGCACCGTCCACTTATGTAATCGATGTACGATGGACTCTCGCGTTCGATAAGCGATATCGCGCGTATTGCAAAGTCGCGGCGAATGCACCAACTGACTAACGCTACTTTCCACAAAGGAATTCGGCTTTTCATTTTGCGCACGAGTAACCGCGCGGAAGAGCCACGCGACACAGCCGCGTAAGAAAAACAGACACGCGCTCTCACGTAATCGCCGGGACCGGCTTCGCCGCGACGGTTGATCGCGATCGGCCGATTTAACCCTCTCATACCTGCGAAATGTGTATATCCCACTTACGAAAAAAAGGCGTAACTTTAAGGCAAACAGTTCCATCGACTTCTACCTTGGCTTGTCTTAAAGAGCAAGGTTAAATCTACATGTAAAAAATTAATATACTTTTAAATGTAATATTTTCAATAAAATATAGTTATCTAAATTTTTTAAGAAATCCAACTTTTAGCTGGCATAATGGCGACGTCTCCTCAGATCCGTCTCGATCAACGAATTCACGGAAAGAGGATCGCGTTTCGTTAGCAAGTAAACTGTTGCCTCTATAAAGATTACATAACTGCATGACTACACAGACAACCATCAAGAAAGCATGTACGGAATAGCAGATTTTGACCTGTAGTAGAGAATATGTTCAGAAGAACCTTGAGGTTTCTTGAGGTCACTATCTAAGGTCTATTGACTTAAATTTAAAATTTTTACATTCTACAGAGAGAGAGAGAGAGAGAGAGAATTTGGTTGAATAAACACTTCTTTGGAACAGTTCAAACAAATCTTTTGATTGATCGAACAAAATTTTATTTGACGCAACAAAAATATTTATTTACGGCTTAGTTCCGAAGAAATATTTTTGTTGTGTCAACCAAAAAATTTATTTGGACTATTCCAAAGAAACATTTATTTGATTCAACAAATCATTTTCTCTGTGTACTTGTAATTGATGTGTGATCAGAATAAAAACTTTTTTTATCTAGATTCATACTTTAAATATATCAATATTTAAGCTTTTCACAGCCGTCATATTGAATTTAAATTTTGACAGTGAATTTAGAATCAGCGTTCCCAAAAACATTTACAACCGTCTTAAAAAGTAAAACATCTTTCACAGTATTAAAGGATTAATTCGCACGTTCTCGCATACGCCGCGCGTCGACAACCGACTCTTCTCTGTTTCGTCTCAGGCTGAGGTAAGTACGATCGCGAGCATTGTTTCATCTCAAGTGTAACCCGACGCGGGAGATCACTGTCGGGAATCGCGATTGTCGCGAGATAATTTAGCATTCGCGTCGTGAAAATCGCGCGAATGTTAACGCCGCGCACTCACCGTGATCGAGGACAGCTCGCACCGGGCCCTCCTCATCCATACCTTGGAAAGTGACCTTTTTATCTTTGGCCATGAGTTTCGCACGAGCGGCGCGAACAATCATCAATTCCCCGTTGACCCTTTTCAACTCTAGCATGAAGTCGCCCGCCAAATCAGCTGTTGTCAACGATAGTAACATTAATCATTCATTTTCACTAACATAATTCATAACTCATTTTCACTTAACATAATTCATTTTCATTAACGCGACGGATATCATTTCTTTTCTATCCCTCTTTCTTTTCTTACTAAAGTTTCCGGCGAGCAGACCACTGCCGCGCAACATCTCCTTTCCTGCTTTTCCCGCGAGTGTGTATTGGGATCTCACGCGAAGCAATGGGACGCGTATCCTCAGGATCACGTGCATCACGTCGTCCTGAAATATTTTGTAAACGTGCGAAAAATAGATCTTTATGTATTCCACCAGTGAATTCATCTCTATTCGCGAGCACATCAGAAAATAGGCAAACTTCTACATATAAATAAAAAATAGAGCATCGCATTCGATTGACGGGGAATTTAATCCTTTACACTCCAAAGACGCTATCTAAAGTTTCTCACAAAGTTTACAAGTCGCCGCGAACCAAAATTACTGTAATCTAATCCATAATAATTAAGTATCTGAAAGGAATTTTGTGTTCAGTTTAATGACTTCTACCTGCACACAATAGATATTTCAATAATTATCAAACATTCTGTATGTTATATGATTGAAAAAAACCTAACCCAAATTTAAATTCAGAACTGAGCATTTCACGCGGAATAAGTTTCAAGTAACGATTATTAATTAAGACCTGAATGCCAGTTCGAGGAAAAATTTTCAAAATACTCCAATTTTTCGTCAATTGACTCGCGCATTCGAACGGGTGACATATCGATCCTTACTTCAGCCGTTTCTTCGGGATGCGCTCGTTTCGCTCTCTTAGTGTCGTTGAGCTTCACGTCGCGCGAAGCACTGCCGTTTATCACACCCACTCCACCGTAATGGTAAATCAACTGCATTCCTTCCTCGAAGTAACCCTGTTGTTCCTGATGGTCTTTCGCGTATCTCATCGAGTCCTTCAACTCTTTACTTCCTGTCGCTACTTTAATCATGTCATTTCTTTTCGTCAGGGCTTCGCCCTCCGTGAAATTGTGGATGATGAACCTAGCACTCTCTCGGATGTCCTACGAGAGGAATTCGTGAGAATTCGTGGTTATCCGCTTGTTACGCGATAGATCGACGTAACTTTGCGGAAATTTCAATCAGATTTTACAGTTTTTTAAGTTACAGATTTTATATTGAAGAGAGAGAGAGAGAGAGAGAGAGAGAGAGAGAGAGAGAGAGAGAGAGAGCAGTATAAAAAGAAACTTATGGACACCTTCATGATGTCTTCAATGCCATACACTCGCTGATCCTGTCCGGGATTCACACCGAAGTTACCGAAACGCCTCATGCTCCCGTTAGCCCTGTCACCCGCGTAGACGATATCGATGTAACCCGATTGCCGCTTCGTCTCCTCCTCCGACGCTCGACGATTGTCCGATCGCGCGGACTGTTCTCTGTTATACGAAGCGGACGCTCTTGCATCACCGCGATCTTTCGACTTAGTCTTGACCGCTTCCGACGCGGAAACCTGTTCCGGCAAATTTTGCAGCTTCAACGTTACCGCCTGTCACTCGATCAAATGGCTAACGCCATTTCGCTGTGAAACACGTTACATAAAAAGAGGCCGAAGAAACGCATATATAACACAATTACGCGCGCGTAATGTATCCCGCCGCTTGCACTGTGTAAGGCCCGAGATCGTTACGACAGAATCAATCGAATCACGATAAGACGCTAGATTCCAAGTAAAAAGATTGTGATTAAACCTCCGCGTAGCCTTGTCGCGGCTCATAGTGACGATTGGCCTTCTGATTGCCTTGATAGTGATATTGGGGACCTCGCGCATCGTCGCAATCGACCACGTCTTCGCCACCCTGCAAGCTGCCACGATAATCTCCCTGGAAATCTCCTGTTCCCCGCGTGTAAGCAGGTTGCACGTAGGCCGGATGTTGGAAGCTCGCGAAATTTCCGGGACCCGTCTCAGAGTTGCCGTGCGTCCTCAGGTTATCTCGGTGAGGTCCGCCGAGCATCGTGTCAGGATGAGAGAACGTCTGTCGATCGTGCTGCTGACTCTGCTCGAACGTGCTGAATCTATGCTGATCCTGTTGCAACCTGCCGAAGCGATCCTCTTGCGAGGAGGCTCTGACACCGGCGGCTCGACTCGAGGGCGACACCACGGCCTCGAGACTGTCCTTCGGCACGTGGGGCTCTCTCATCATCGTGTGAAACTTGTACTTGACAGACTCCACGTCTCGGAGGTCACTGTAACTCACGTAGCCGGCCTCGAGCTCGCTCAGATTAGACTTCAGTCCACCACGAGCCACGTGGATACTCTCCAAGGTGGACTCATTAAGACCGACAATTTCCAAGTTCCTCAAGATTATTCTGTAGCTGGTGTCGCCCTCGGACTGATCCACCTTGATCAGCGGCACCCTCAACGGGTCCAGCTTGCCGATTTTCGTCAGACTCCCGGACACCACCTTGGTCCAGAGCGTTTGCGACATCTCCAGCAAGCCGCACCTCGCCGAAGTCGCCGTGGAAAGTATCAGAAGCACGAGAAGGAGGTTTCGTTTGTTCATTTTGCAGCAAATAGGACGAATTTATCGTATCTTGCTTTGAAATTCTTCTCAAGAACGAAAGAGTGAGAAAGCTCCCACAAATTCTCCCAGGTGAGTGTTCAGTGAGGCACGTCGATCTCCCAAACGTAGAACGGTTTGTAAATCAACAACAGCACGATGCTAATGACAACGAGGATCAGCAGAGAACACGTGATTATCGTGCACGTCAGCATGCGATTCAACATAAGTCGCGTCTCATTGGTTCGCGATGCTCGACGGTTTCAGGCAACATCGTGAGAACGATCGATAATAAGAATTCACAACTTCCGAAGCGGATGATTAGGGAAAAGTCGGATGATCGGCAATTGCGCGAATCAGAATCGGTATCGCGAAATGTCGACTGCGAGTCGGTGATGCGCTCGTGGCCACTTTTTATAGTCGCTCGTGGAAGGACATATTGGGCTATGATGAATCTGGGCCATGGACCAGTCTTGCACGTTAGGATGACTAATTGACCCGATCAAACCGAGATGGATTCTCCGTGACGTTCGATATTTCCTTAAGGATTTTTGAGCTATATAAAAATAGTACCAATTTGATAAAACTTTGGATAACTGTTCTTTTATTATCTATAATATACTGAAAAAAATTTCAATAAACCGATTTACTAAACCGTTGAAGAATAATTATTATGTTAATTTTACACGTGTTCTTATGACAAAAGCAATTTTCCTGAATGTAATGGGTAAAAACGTATAGAAAAAATAGTACTAAAAATTTAAATATTTTTATACTAGATCCTGAATTATCGGAATTATTTGCAGAATTTGATTAGTTTTCACAACACGGTTTCAGAGAAATTAATTTTTATTTGTGACAATTTTGCGATTGTCGTAAGGAGTTAGTAACTGGACTGTGGAAATGCGGCAACGTTGCAATCAGCTGGTGTGTCAAACAAATAACCTATAAATTAGTATAATAAAGTTACATTGTAATGTCTTGTTTTGTCTGTATTGTTTTATGTAGAGGATAAGAATACAAATTAAATCATTTCGATGAACAATAGGATAAGTGTGAAATTTGAGGTTTTTGTTGTTTTATCTAACTTGCACAGTGCATTACTGCCAACATACAAACCACAAATTATATGGTGCGCTGTTGCTACCTTTTAAAACTTTTTTAACTTTTAACTTTTTCAAATATTTATAATAACAAATAATATTGATAGTTATTGATTATGACAATGCATATTTACTTGTTTTAACTTATTCCAATTACTTTTCTTCTTTGCACTGATGGATGTTGATATTAAATAAATACGAAATTTAATTTTCCCTGCCAAAAGTTTCATTATAGAAAGTTGAAAAATAGCAAATAAAACTAATAAACTGTTGAAAAAGTGAACAATAACTTTTTAAATAAGAGATACATTATATTAGCCACCATTTATATCAGTTATCACTAGGTTTACTACACGTTTGAAGCAGATATTCCAATTTTTTTGTATTTGAAGCACTTTTGTCACCGATTGTATCTCAGATACATCCTTAAGTTCCTCCGTCGCGCAATGATGTAATGGAGAGCAAGGTTCTTGTGCGACCTTCCACCGACGATTAAGCCAAATAGGTAAAAAAATATTCATGAACAGTCTATTGAACATTGATCGGTTAAAACATCCGTTGATTAAGATAACCGATAAATCAACAATCAAAATTCATTAATCGTCATATGTGTAATCGCGGATAACTTTATCGATTGGTAAAATTAATTATTATTAATCAGTGTATAATAAATTACACCAAAGTCTTATTAATAATTAATTTCATAGGTCGATAAAATTATTTATGATTTTATACAGGACGATGAATTTTGATGATTGATTTGCCGGTTATTTCAGTAAAAAAAACTTTAATAACGATTTACGCGTTTTCGCGAGAACTACCTACACATATAAAAAAAAAAGCATTCTTGTCCCAAAAATATCTTTACTTTCGACATGTAAACCTTAAATATGAGCTTACACAGCATTAAACAAAAATAAGTTATTTGCAATACGATACGATACGTCTGAGATACTAACTTTTTCACCAAAGCGGAAATGAACAAAATATGGAAATTTAATTGTACTTGGAACAATCATGAATTAAAATAGCTATGAACATAACAAACCGTGAGATGCTATGTAGATCGTAAACAATACGAGATCTGTATGCAAATGTAAATTTAACTTTATGTCTCAGAAACGTAGTTCACACAATCTTGTACAGATAGCAGCAGAAATCAGCGTTACTAATACCTATAAAACATATATTATTTAACTTATTTTTTTTTAATATTTATTCTCTCAGACTATTTTCTCTTTTATAAAAAATATCGCCAGATAGAATTTACCGATGAGTATCCCGTTCTAACCTACTAAAAAGACTAATAAACATTCAAGGCAGCAAAAGAAAAGATTGTTTCCATCTAAATAATTACTTCTAAGAATGATATTTGCGAATCGCGCGGTTTCGCGACGACTTTCGGAGCGTAATACTGTTCTCGCGAAAAGCGCCATAACAATATTAAACAACGAGATCGCACGTGATTTACATTGTGTTGTAATGTGACCTTCGTATCCAAAACACAATTTCTGACGCGTCGAGCAAGCAGATTTGCGAGAGACGTGGAAACAAGAATAACACGAAGTGGTTATCAAAATCTGTTGTCGCCAAAATCTCCTAATCAGGACACATTGCTGATTGATCGGTAAATTCGCTGGTCAGAATTTCTTGCTATTTCGGCACATCGTTAACTTTCAATTTAACCACAGGATTCAATTCTACCACAATGCGCGTTATTTTCACGGTCCTTGTTGCAACGTGCAACTTAGTCGCGGCGAAATCGGTCATGAACTTCACAAAGATATGTAAGTAAAGCAGTAATCGTCGAACAAAGCAGTTTTCACGAATAGAGCGAATATCTATATCTCCGTCCTCTCATAGCGATTAGAATCTTATCCTATGGAGGATACAAACGATCGCGAGTGTTTGTCAAGTTGATTGTTCTTGCCAATAAATCGCATGTTTCACGAAACAAATACGAAATATACTTACATCAACTTGACGTACATGCACGAAATAAAAATGCTAACACTGTTTATCTTGTTTCTAGTTCCAAACATAAACAGATGCACACATAATCAGCAGTTTTTTGATCAATGCATACGGCAGAGCATACGAGCGATAGAGTCTTACTTATTATGTGGTGTTCCGCAATTGAACATACTCTCTCATGATCCGTATATCATCGATCACCGCACGATAAAAACGAAGGATGTAATATTTAACGGCATCGCGACGCTTACGAATATAAGGATCTATGGTCTAACAGATTATGAAATATATAAAGTCGAGTAAGAAATCATGATCGATTAGGTTGAAACATCAGTTGAAATTCACCCGTGAATAACGTACGGTCTGGAATAGTTGTTCCGAACATCAATGTAGAAACGACAAATTAAATGTCATCAATATAAATTTAATCAGTAGTTAAACAAATATTTTTGCTTTGTCACACAAAGAGCATCACTGAATGCGTCGATTGCTGGATGAAGAATATCTAGGGGGTTCGCAGAAAATATTGTCAGGCAACTTAAAAGTGCTCCACGCGACAATAAATCGGCACATTCGACAATACTTATCGTATGACAAATACAATCATAGCATCGCACGACTGAAACGTTCCACATCGTGTTTTCTGTTGCCAATCGCGAGCACAAAACTAGCTTGAAATTATTGTTTCCAGATATATCGGACCAACATTAGAAATGAGAATTGAGGCCTTCTTCCCACGTATTCAATTTTACGCTTACTATGACATAGACGGTACATTGATGCTTGCACCCATAAAAAGACGCGACCATGAAATGAGCATAACTTGTAGAGACGTCAGAGCTTTTATCCTGCTAAATGGTACACATTATATAAGAAGCAATGGATTACAATATTTCAAAGTGGAAACAGCGCCCGTGGATTTATACGTCAGAAAAGCCAGGATCAACTTTCAAGATTTACACGACAGCTTCAACCTAATGTTAAATGAATATCTGAACGCAAAGTTTGAAAAAACATTTCATACTGAAATAATGATAAAAATCGGATACTTCGCTTCAGAAATTATCATGACAACCGCAAATAAGATTTACTGGAATTTCCCGATATCAACGTTGCTACTTAATCCTTAAATAAATCTGATCAGCAAGTGAGAAATAATATATCCTGAAATAGGGACTAGAGTCGGATACATTATTTTAAGTATTATCCAAAGAATCTCCAATAAGATCTACTAGAACTTTCCGGTATCAATGTTGTCACCATTATGTCGTTGTTTTTACTTCACAACCATGACAAAAAATAGATATTCTAAAACCGTTAATTATCGGCACGACCGATTGTGCGCATGTGATGTTTCATAAAGAGCAAGAATTCGTGTAATCTTCTACGCATAACGGGTTGCTCACAATTTCTCTGATGAAGTCAAATGCTTACAACTGCAAGTCACTGGTCGCACGGACTTGCATGACATAATCGGTGATAAAAATCACAGAAATCGAATGATAGCAAACGATGTAAGTAGTGATTTATTATATCCTTATCTGACAGATAAAAGTACAATAAAGACACTTAAGTTTTCTTTTTACAGTCTCCTGTTACAGTTGTATTATTGCATGTCTCGTTCACTATTACTTCGGCTCCTGTCACCACCGATTGCCAAGCAAACATGTTAGAAGTGGCTTACAATAATGACCATTTCATACGCTTCTCACTTTATCAAGAAAAAACAGATGGAAACTGTGCAAACAAATAAACACTTCATTTTAATACATACTCGACACTTTTTTCTCAATGCAGGTTGAAAGGCAACCTCGATCGTCCCATGAGGAAACTTGTTTTTCAATAATTCGCAGAAGTTATGTTCGATCATAAAACCATCGATTGTATTTCAAACTGCATCAAGAGAAAAATATTTAACCTATATTGATAAAAGGAATATAATATATATATGCGGAAAAAAAAATATATATATGTATTCGCGAAAATTTCGGATAAGATAACGACAGTTAAACTATTTTCTTTTTCATGGAGAAAACAAAAGAAATCCTCTACCACGCATTTATGATTCGGATATTTTTACCAAAACGAAAGCGAAAAAGTATAAAATATGAAAATTTATTTGTACTTTGAACAAATGTAATAAATAGCTAGGAATATAACAAACAATTCTTGACATTATAAAGTTAATCGTAAGCAATTGTATCTGTAAGTAATCATGATGTATAAATTCGACTTTACGATTCAGGGGGATATTTCGTGCAATTTTGTGCAGCAAAAGTCGACGATAGTTAGTAGCCGCAGAAAAAAATATTAGAGAAGAAATATTTTTAACTATAATTATTCTTAATATAATCTCTCTTTTGTGAAATCGTATTATCCTACTAAAGATACAAATAAACATTCTGCACTCAAAGGTTAAAAAAAATACCACTAGAGTTGCCCGATTATTTCCAACTAAATAGTCGCCTTTAAGAACGATGATCGTGTATCATGCGATTTCGCGAAGACTTTCGAAACATATTTAACACTGTGTTGAAAAGCGCCTTAGCAATGTTAAACAACGAGATCGCACGTGATTTACATCGTGTTGTAATGTGACCTTCGTATCCAAAATACAAATTCTAACGTGTCGAGCAGGCCGATTTGCGACAGACGTGGAAACGAAAACAAGACGAGGTGGTTATCAATATCTGTGGTCGTCAAAATCACACAATCAGGACATATTGCTCATTAATCGGGTATTGCTAAATTCGCGGGTCAGAATTTATTACTATTTCGGCACATATTAACTTTTAATTCAATCACAGAATTCAATTCTACTATAATGCGCGTTATTTTCGCGGTCCTCGTTGCAACGTGCTACTTAGTCGAGGTGAAATCGGCCATGAACTTCACAAATATATGTAAGTAAAACAGTGATAGTCGAACAAAGTAATTTCTACGAACTAGAACGAATATCTACATCTCCGTTCTCTCATAGTGATTAGAATCTTATCCTATGGAAGATACAAGCGATCGCGAGTGTTTGTCAAGTTGATTTCTGCCAACAAACCGCGTGCTCCACAAAACAAATACGAAATAGACTTGCATTACTTTGACGTACGTGCACGAAATAAAAATGCTAACACTGTTTATCTTGTTTCTAGTTCCAAACATACACAGATGCGCATATAACCAGCAATTTTTAAATAGATGCATAGAGCGGAGCATAAGAGAGATGCGGCGTTACCTAATCCGTGGTGTTCAGCAATTGAACATACCCTCTTATAATCCGTATTTCATTGATAAGCGCACGATCCGCATGAAGGATGAAATATTTAACGGCACTGCGACGTTTACGAATATACGGATTGATGGTCTAACAGATTATGATACATATGAAGTCAAGTAAGTAATCGTGATCGATTAGGTTGAAACAAGAATTGAAATTCATCCGTGGATAACATGGATAACGTATGGTCTGGAGTGGTTGTCCCGAACATCAATGTAGGATTGACGAAATAAGTTTTATCAGTATAAATTCGATCAGTAATTAAACTAATATTTTTGCTTTGTCACACAAAGAGCATCATTGGATGCGTCGATTGTCGGATGAAAAATGTCTAGGGGGCTCGTAAAAAATATTGTCAGGCGATTTACAAATGCTCCATGTGACAATAAATTGGGACATTCGACAATGCTCATCGCGCGACAAATACAATAATAGTATCGGTCGACCGAAACGTTCCACATCGGGTTTTCTATTGCCGATCGCGAGCAGCTAAGCACAAAGCTAACCCAAAACTATCATTTCCAGATATATTGGACCAGATCTAGAAATGAGACTTGATATCTTCTTTCCAATTATTGAATTTGACGCTGACTATGACATAGACGGTGTATTGATGCTTGAACCCATAAAAAGACGCGGGCATGAAATGATTATAACTTGTATAGATGTCAGAGCCTTCATCTTGCTAAACGGTACAGATTATATAAACAGCGATGGATGGCGACATTTCAAAATAGAATCAGCTCCCGTGGATTTACACGTCAGAAGAGCCATGATCAGCTTTGAAGATTTACACGACAACTACTTCGGCAACATAAAATTAAATGAATATCTGAACGCACAATTTGAAACATATTATCCTCACATAATGATAAAAGTCGGATATTTCGCTACAGAAATTATCCAGAAAATCGCAAATAAGATTTACTCGAATTTCCCGGTAAGAAAGTTGTTACCATATTATTATTAAATAAATCTAATCAGCAATTGGGAAATAGTATATCCTGAAATAGTGACAAGAGTAAGGTACATTATTTTAAGTATCATCAAAAGTATCTCAAATAAGACCTATTGTAACTTTACGATGTCAACGTTGTCAACATTATGTCGTTGTTTTTACTTTACCTTCATGACGAAAAATAGATATTTTATAACTGTTAATTATCGACACGATCGATTGTGCGCGTGTGATGTTTCATAAAGAGCGAGAATTCGTGTAGTCTTGTTCGCACAACAGGTTGCGCAACAATTTCTCTGATGAAATCAAGTGCGTATCAAATACTCACGACTGCAAGTCACTGCTTGCATGAGCTTGCACGACATAATTAGTTATGACAGAAATCGAATGACAGCAAACGATGTAAGTAGTGATTTATTATACCTTTATCTGACAGATAAAAGTACAATAAAGACACTTAAGTTTTCTTGTTACAATCTTCTGTTACAGTTGTATTGTTGCATGTTTCGTTTACTGTTACTTCGGCTTTTGTTACTATCGAATGCCGGGCAAGCTTGTTAATATTGGCTCACAATAGTGATTATTTCATGCGCTTCTCACTTTATCGAGAAAAAACATGTGGAAACTGGTATGCAAACAAATGTACACTTTATTTTAATAAATTTTCGATACTTTCTTCCCGAAGCAGGTTGAAAAGCAACCCCGATCGTTCCATGAGAGAACTTGTTTTTCAATAACTACCCAAAGTTATGTTCGCTCATTGAACAATCGATTGTATCTTAAACTGCATCAAGAAAAAAATATCCTACCTACATTGATAGCAAGTATCCAATTACACGGAAAATGTATACACGTGTTCATGAGAATTCCAGATAAGACAACGACAGTTTAACCGTTTTCTTTTTCTAAAGAAGAAAAGAAATTCTCTACAAAGCGTTTGTGATTCTGACATTTTTACCAAAAACGAAAGTGGAAAAAAATAAAGTATGGAAATTTACTTGTACTTTGAACAAACGTAATAAATAACTACAAACATAACAAACTATTTTTGATATTATAACGTTCATTGTAAGCAATTGTATTTGTAAGTAATCATGACTTTACGTAAATTTGACTTTACGTCTCAGGGGCATGGTTCGTGCAATTTTGTGCAGCAAAAGTCGACGTTAGTTAATACCCTTAAAAGAAAAAAAATATTACAGAAGAAATATTTTTAACTATAACTTTTTTTAATACAATCTCTCTTTTATGAAATCATATTATCCTGTTAAAGATACATATGAACATTCTACTCTCAAGATTTCAAAAAAATATAACTTATATAAACAAGAGCTGGTCGATTATTTCCATGTAAATAGACGTCTTAAAGAACGGTGATGACAAATCTCGCGATTTTGCGAGAACGTTCGGAGGATATTTAGATTTAACACTGTCCTCTCGAAAAGCGAAAAGTCTTATCTAAATATTAAACAACGAGATCGCACGTAATCTACATCGTGTTGTAATGTGAACTTTGTGTCCAAAATACAAATTCTGACGCATTGAGCAAGCAGATTTGCGAGAGACGTGGAAACAAGAATAAAACGAGATAGTTATCAAAATCTGTTGTCGTCAAAATCTCATAACAAGAATACATTGCTGATTGATTGGTAAATTCGCGTCAGAATTTTTTGCTACTTCGTTAACTTTCAATTCAACCACAGGATTCAATTCTATCACGATGCGCGTTATTTTCGCGGTCCTCGTTGCAACGTGCAACTTAGTCGCGGTGAAATCGGCCATGAGCTTCAGAAATATATGTAAGTAAAGCAGTGATCGTCGACCAAAGCAATTTCCATGAACTAGAGCAAATATCTACATCTCCGTTCTCTCATAGCGATTAGAATACAAGCAATCGCGAATATTTGTCAAATTGATTGTTCTTGCTAACGAACCGCGTGTTTCACGAAACAAATACGAAATATACTTGCGTCACTTTGATGTACGTGCATAAAATAAAAATGCTAACATTATTTATCTTGTTTCTAGTTCCAAACATACGCAGATGCGGACATATTCAGCTAATGTTAAATAAATGCATACAGCAGAACATAAAAGCGATGCAGCCTTACTTATCCCGTGGTATTCCGCAATTAAACATATTCCCTCATAACCCGTATCTCATCGATAAGTACACGGTCCGCATGAAGGATGTAATATTTAACGGCAATGCGACGTTTACGAATATATGGATCTATGGTCTAACAGAATATGAAATATATAAAGTCGAGTAAGTAATCGTGATCGATTAGGTTGAAACACGAGTCGAAATTTATCCGTGGATAACGTACATAACGTACAGACTGGAATGGTTGTCCCGAACATCAATGTAGGATCGAAATAAATTTCGTCAACTAATCAGTAGTTAAGCTAATATTTTTGCTTTGTCGCACAAAAAGTATCGTTGGATGCGCCGATTGCCAGATAAAGAATTTCTAGGAGGCTCGCAAAAAATATTGCCGGGCGACTTACAAATGCTCCATACGACAATAAATCGGCATATTCGACAATGCTCATCGTACGACAAATACAATAATAGCACCGATCAAACAAAACATTTCACACCGTGTTTTTTATTGCCGTTCGCGAGCAGCTGAGCACAAAACTAGCCCAAAACTATCGTTTTCAGATATATCGGACCATCGTTAGAAATGAGAATTGACGCTTTCTTCCCATATATTGAATTTTTCGCTTACTACGATATTAACGGTGTTTTGTTTAATACACCCATAAAAAGACGAATGCAGCCAATGAGCATAACTTGTACAGACGTCAGAGCTTTTATCCTGCTGAACGGTACACGTTATGTAAAAGACGATAGACTGATATATTTCAAAGTGGAAACAGCACCCATGGATTTACATATGAGAGTAGCCAAGATCAAATTGCATAATTTAGAAGACAGCTTGTACAACAATCTGCGCTTCAATGAATATCTGGACGCAATGTTTGAAACATATTATCCTCAAATAATGATAAAAGTCGGGTATTTCGCTTCACAAATTATCAAGACAACCGCAGATAAGATTTCCTGGAATTTCCCAATATCAACGTTGCTACTTTAAATAAACATCTGATCAACAAGTGGGAAATAGTATATCCTGAAATAGTGACAAGAATCGGATACATTGTTTTAAGTATTATCAAACCAATCACAAATAAGGCCTACTGGAACTGTCGATATCAACGTTATTACTATTAGAGCGTGTCGTTTTTACTTCACCATCGTGACGAGAAAATAGATTTTCTACAATAATATTCTATGTTAATTATCGGCACGAACGATTGTGCACGTGTGAGATGTTTTATAATGAGCAAGAATGCATGTAATCTTGTTCGCAGAACGGGTTGCGCAACAATTCTCCTGATGATTTAAACGCGTATCAAACGCTCACGATAGCAAATCGCTGCTCGCACGGATTTGCACGACATAATTAGTTATGATAGAAATCGAATGATAGCACACGATGTAAGTAGTGATTTATTATACCTTTATCTAATAGATAAAAGTACAATAAAGACACTTAAGTTTTCTTGTTACAGTCTTCTGTTACTAGTTGTATTGTTGCATGTCTCGTTTACTATCACTTCGGCTCCTGTCATCACCGATTGCCGAGCAAACTTGTTAGTAGTGGCTCACAATAAAGACCATTTCATGCGCTTCTCACTTTATCGAGAAAAAACATGTGGAAATTGTTGTGCAAACAAATAAACACTTCATTTTAATACATTTTCGACACTTTCTCCACGATGCAGGTTGAAAGGTAACTCCGATCGTCACATGAGGGAACTTGTTTTTCAATAATTCTCAGAAATTATGTGCGCTCATTAAACAATCGATTGTATTTCAAACTGCATCAAGAGAAAAATATCCAACCTATATTGATACCAAGTATCCCATTACACGGAAAATGTATACATGTATCCGCGAGAATGTCAGAATAGAAATCGACAATTAAGCTATTTTCTTTTCCTGGAGAAGACGAAAGAAATTCTCTACAATGCATTTGCGATTCTGACATTTTTACCAAAACCGAAAGCGGAAAAGAATAAAGTATAGAAATTTACTTGTACTTTGAACAGACGTAATAAATAGCTAGTAACATGACAAACTATCCTTGACATTATAACATTAATCGTAAACAATTGTATCTGTAAATAATCATAATGTATAAATTCGACTTTACGTCTCAGGGGCATAGTTCGTGCAATTTTATGCAGCAAAATTCGACGTCAGTATCCGCAGAAGAAACATTATAGAAGAAATATTTTTAACTGTAATATTTCTCAATATAATCTCTCTTTTATGAAATCCTGCAAAAGATATAAATAAACACCCTGCTCTCAAGATATAAAGAAAAAACACTCGAGCTGGCCGATTATTTCCATCTACATAGTCGTCTTGAAGTATGCTGATCGAAAATCGCGCGATTTTGCGAAAATTTCGATTCGGCGTATAATCTTTACATCTTACCATTCTCTGATTGTTCTCTGATCTCAATGTTAAACCACGAGACCACGGACGTGATGTTCGTGTTTCACATATAAATTCTGACACGTGGAGCCAGCAGATCAGAGGAAGACGTGAAGACGAAACCAACACGTGGTAATAATTTATTGTCGAAGTCTCATCATCAAAACATTGCCAATCAACCGGTAAATTCGCGGTTTAGAGTCTCATGGTATTTCGACGCATCGATAAGTTTCAATCTAGAATCAGACACGATGCATACTATTTTCGCGATCCTCGTTGTAACGTGCAGCTTAGCGACGGTGAAATCATATGCCGTGAGATCTAACGATAATAATGCAGACGTTTGTAAGTAAATCGGCGATCATCAAGCAAAGTGGTTTCCTCGAACGATTATGAATACGTGTTTTTTTCATAACGATTAGAATCCTACTAGAGAAGATACAAATAATCTCAAACACTTGTTTACTCGACTTTTCTTTTCAAAGAACTTCATGTGCTTTCCGGAATACACACCAATACGAAATATATTTGTGGCTATTTAATGTACGCGCAAGTAATAAATTGCAAACATACTGTTTATCTTGTTCTTAGTATCGCAGCTGTACACATGTCGTGGCAAAAACAACTTAAAACAATGCATAAAAGATACCTTAGAATCGCTGAGGCCTTACTTAGCCAATGGAATTCCGGATTTGAATTTACCGGGTTGCGAACCATATCATATAAAGCGTTACGAATTTGATTTAAAACATCGATTTAATGGTACTGCGACTTTCAAGGATATAATTATCTACGGTCTAACAAATTTCACGATAAATAATGTCGAGTAAGTAATTACGTTCAGTATATTAAAGATTCGGAATTCCTTCACGGATAACGTACGATCCAAACTCGGAATAACTGCCTTATCTCGAAAATTAATGCATGAACGATCGGTTGATCAGTACCACCGACAAACTAATATTTTATCTATGAAGAATATTGTCGAATATGTGCCCATTATCGAGTAGAGAATTTCCAATTATCAAATAGAATATTTCTTTATATCTAATATAGCAATATTTTATCCATCATTCAACTGGCACATGCGACAACACTTATCGTATACGGAGGAAAAACGAAATTAAAGTTATATTTCTTTTTACAATATTTATTGTAAAACTTGTTTATATCGAAATTGTAGTATAAATTACTATAGAAATAGTAAATTTGAACATCTACTTGGTGTATATAATATAAAAAACATTCAAGCAATTGCAAAAATTCTGCAGTAAAATGTCAGAATGTGTCATTTTTAAACAAAGATTTTCTATATGGTTTATTATTACAGAAACTTTTCTGTAATTTTTATTACATTATTTTGTTCGTATACGATAAATGAAATAATAGTCTTATTCACACAAACGATTCGCATTATCGATTTAATGGCGGATGATAAATAGCTAAGTACAATATTCGATTAAAACTGTGGTTTTTCAGATCTACTTTTGATATGCGTAAAATTAAATTTGAGGTGTACTTTCCACACATTCAAGTGTACGCTTTCTATGACATAATCGGTGAAGTGTACCATATACCTATAAAATACGGAAACAATATGACTGAGGATTTCTTGGACATCACATCCCATATTATTATAAAGGGTGTATATGACGAGAACAGTAACAATCTAGAATACGAACTACAAGATTATAGGATCGCAGTGAATTTGAATGTTAAAGACGACAATAGAGAGTCACGCCGTAACAAACGGTTGATCCCCGAGCAATGGGACAAATTCCTTACGTATCTCTTCACCGGCTGGTTTGCGCCTGAAATACTTAACAAAGTCGAGAGGGACGCTTCCAATATTAACAGGAGAAACTCAAAACATGTCGTGAGCCATCCAATGTCACAAATAGTACGTTACTAAGTACGTTGTTTTCATCGTTATGATAAAAATTGTTTTATTACAATTGTTAGTCATCAGCACAATCAATTTAAGGGGTCATGCTATCCTGACGCGTTGGAAAAACGTCTGAAATCGCTTTTTTTTCGACACTACTATAAGTTATTAAGATTTTCTTTATTTGCAATGTTTAGTACATGTTTTTGTGAAAATTTTGTGGAAATGGTTTTAAAAAGTAGCCGAGTTGTAAGACGTTTCGCGAAGCTCCTTTGCGCACGGATAGTGTATACGATATCTTCAAAAACCAATTACTCAATTAATTTCTACTTTGATACACATGCTCTTTAACAAAATTTTCTAGGGCGCAACGTACGATCAAATTTATATCTTTTAGATAAAATTAATTACTTTTTAATAATAAATGTGTAAAGCTAAATCTTTTAGACAAAAATTGAATTTTTGTTTTCAACTTACTGTGATTTCTACAATTCTCTATTTCTCTCAGAACCTCTACATTGCGCTCTGGATAATCTTATAAAAATATGTGTTAAAAATATGTGTAACAAATTAGAAACCAATGGGACAATTGGTTCTCAAAATGTCGAGTATATCATCAATGCGCGTTTGAGCAAAGCAACTTCGTGAGACATGTATATAATCCTATAACTCGGGTATATTTTTTTAAATCACTCATAAAATGTTCATCAAACCATATACTAAACATCATAATTAAAGAAAATTGTTCATAATTTATAATAACTGCGTTAAAAAAATTAATGATTCTTGACTTTTTCAGTGGCTCAAAATAATATAATTCCTTAAATTAACCTAGTTACGTAGACACACGTTGCACGATTTCATACTTCTCGACGTACATGCTAACCGAAATGCACTGTAAACAGCTTATTTTATTGCATAGATCTTCCATTGTACGATAGTCTTTAGTTAATTGATTCTTGCTGCCTAGAAGGTTTCAATTAGCATGCATGGCAAAAGATATGAAATTGCGAAATGTGCGACACTAGTCTTAAAGTTCCTGACTAAGTAATATTTCACTTACAATCGTTTGTAAAATGTACTCTAATATTGCGAAAAGTGCGATTCAAATAGTCACGATTGCAAACCATTGCTCGCGAGTTTGCAGGTCAATTGTTTATCACAGAAGTCGAATGATTATATACGGAGTTAACAGTGGCTTTTAATTATATTTTTACTTGATAAATAAAAGTATCATAAAAGTACTTAATTCTTTTTATAGCTCTCCATTACAGTTGTAATGTCGGGTGACTTATATACTATCACTTCGGCTACTATCATAACTATTCACCATGCAAGTTCGTAAATGGTAGCTCGCAATCGTGACATCGATGATTTCATATATGTATATATATGTTCTAACGTCAATGAAAAAAAATTTACGAAACGCTAACTAAACGAGTGTACACTTTATTTCTATAGTTTAGACCCTTTCTTTTCCGATGTGTATGTGTGTGTGTGTGTGTGTGTGTGTGTGCAATGTAGAACGCAGCCGATAATCCGATGTAATAGAACTAGTTTTTCTTTAATTCTCAGAAGTCGTTTTCCTACTTGAACCATTTCAACTGAATTAAATCATTAGATACATCCACACTATATTGATACAAAGTATCCAATTACAAAGTAATCAATGTAATAGAACTAGTTTTTCTTTAATTCTCAGAAGTCGTTTTCCTACTTGAACCATTTCAACTGAATTAAATCATTAGATACATCCACACTATATTGATACAAAGTATCCAATTACATGGAAAATACATATATATGTCCGCGAGAATTCCAGAAAAGACGACAATTAAATTATTTCCTTTTTCTGAAATAGAGAATTTCTTTCAAGAAGATGAAAGAAATTCTCTACAACGCCTTTGCAATTCTGACATTTTTACCAAAAGCAAAAGTGGAAAAGAATAAAGTATGGAAATTTATTTGAATTTTGAACAAACGTAATAAATAGCTAGAAACATAACAATCCTTAAGATTATAAGGTTAATCGTAAGCAATTGTATCTGTAACTAATCATAATATATAAATTCGACTTTACGTCTCAGGGGCATAGTTCGTGCAATTTTATGCAGCGAAAAACGACGTCAGTACCCGTAGAAGAAATATTACAGAAGAAATAATTTTAACTATAATTTTTCTCAATATAATCTCTCTTTTGTAAAATCGTATAATCCTGCGCAAGATACAAATAAATATCCTATTCTCAAGATATAAAAAAAAATTACCATACGAGCTGGCCGATTATTTCCATCTAAATAGTTGTCTTGAAGGACGATGATCGAGAATCGCGCGATTTCGCGAGAACTTTCGGCGTACAATATTTACATGTTAGCAGTGTTCTCTGAGCTCAATGTTAAATCACGAGATCACGTGCACGGTCATGTGATATTCATGTTTCATATACAAATTCTGACACGTGGAACCAACAGATCAGCTGAAGACGTGAAGACGAAAGCAATACGATGTAGTTATTTGTCGTTGAAGTCTCATAATCAGAATATAGCCGATTGATCGGTAAATTCACTGTTTAGAATCTCTTGGTATTTCGACACATCGCTAAGTTTTAAATCAACCTAGAATCAACCACGATGCATACTATTTTCGCGGTTTTCGTTGCAACGTGCAGCTTAGTGGCGGTGAGATCATATGCCGTGAAATGTAACGACAATAATGCAGGAGTTTGTAAGTAAATCGGCGATCATCAAGCAAAGTGGTTTCCTCGAATGAGAGTGAATACCTATTTTTTCGTAACGATTAGAAACCTATTTCTATAGCAGATACAAATAATTTCAAATACTTGTTTACTCAAATTTTCTTTTCAAAGAATATCGTGTGTTTTCCGGATCACGGAAAACAAAATACATTTATGTTGCTTTAATATATATGCAAGTAATAAATTGCTTATATATTGTTTATCTTGTTCTCAGTACCGACGCTGCACAAATGTCGTGGCCAAGAGAACTTAAAACAATGCATAAAGGATACCATAGAATCACTGAGCCCTTACTTAGCCAACGGAATTCGGGATTTGGATGTACCGCGTTGCGAACCATATTACATAAAGAATTACGAATTTATTTTCGAAAAACATTGTAATGGCACTGTGACTTTCAAGGATATATTTATCCATGGTCTAACAAATTTCACGATAAATAATGTCGAGTAAGTAATTACGTTCAGTATATTAAAGATTCGGAACTTCTTCACGGATAACGTACGATCCAAACTCGGAATAACTGCCTTATCTCGAAAATTAATGCATGATCGATCGGTTGATCAGTTGATCGGTTGACCACCGACAAACTAATATTTTATCTATGAAGAATATTATCGGATATATGCCAATTATCGAGTAGAGAATTTCAAATAGAATATTCAAATAGAATATTCAAATAGAATTTTCAAATAGAATATTTCTTTATATCTAATATAGAAATGTTTTATCCACCAATCAATTGGCACATGCGACAATACTTATCGTACAAGAAAAAAAAACGACATTTAAACTATATTTATTTTTACAATATTTTTGGTAAAACTCGTTTATACCAAAATTGTAGTATATGTTACTATAGAAATAGTAAATTTGACAATCTGGTGTATACAATATAAAAAAACTTCAAACAATTGCAAAAATTCTCCAGTAAAAAATCAGAATGTATCATTTTTAAACAAAGATTTTCTATTTGGTTTATTATTACAAAAATATTTCTGTAATTTTCTTGCAATACTTTCTCTGTGTACGATAAATAAAATAATAATCGTATTCAAACAAAACGATTCGCATCATCGATTTGATGGCGGATTGTGAGCAGCCAAGTACAATATTAGACTAAAACTGTTGTTTTTCAGATCTACTTTGGATATGCGTCATATAGAATTTGACGTGTACTTTCCACACATCCAAGTGTATACTTGGTATCACATAGTCGGTGTCACAATCCATGAAGAGTTCCATGCACCTATAAATTACCAAAACACTGTGACTGAGAATTTCTTGAACGTCACATCCCATATCATTATAAATAGTATATATGTCAAGAACGGTCACAACCTACAATACGAACTACATTATAGGATCTCAATGAATTTTAATGTTGATAACGAGTATAGAGAGACATTCCATAACAAAAGCGTTGACTGGTCAACTGCCGAATGGGTCAGTTTCCTTACATCACTTTATCATGGTACCTTCAGCTGGTTTAGGCCTGAAATGCTTAATAAAATCGAGGCGGACGTTTCCAATATTATCACGGAAAATGTAAAACGTGTCTTAAGACATCCAATATATAAATATCATAGATATCTATCATAGATAGTACATTACTAAGTACGTTGTTTTTATTTTATCGCTACGATAAGAATTATTTTAGCACAATTGTTAGTCATCAGTACGATTAATATAAGGTGTCATGCTATCTTGAGGCGCTGAAAAATCGTCTGAAATCGCTAATTTTTTTCGACACAACTATAAATTATTAAGATTTCCTTTATTTACAATGTTTAGTATATGTTTTGGAGAAAATTTTGTGAAAATGATTTTAAAAAATAGCCGCGCTGTAGGATGTTCCGCGCACTGATAGTGCTTCTTTGCGCACTGATAGTGTATACGATATCTTCAAAAATCAATTGACAACATTGATTGCAACGATTATTGCTACATAAAACATGTTGGTACAATTAATTGCAGAAATTTCGAATTAGAGCATCTTTTATTTTTATTTTCTCTCTCAATGAGAGAATGTCAAAAGAGTGTCATCTTTTAGTGTCAATTTTTAATGTAATTTTTCTTTATTTTCTTATTAACAGACTAGCCTGAAATAGTTTTAAAAAATAGCCGAGTTATAAGATGTTCCGCGAATTTCCTTTGCACACTGATAGTGTATACGATATCTTTAAAAACCAATTACTCGGTCTCTACTTTGGTACACATGCTCTCTATCAAGATTTTCTAGGGCGCATCGTACGTTCGTACTTGTATCTTTTATATACAATTAATTACTTTTTAATAATAAATACGTAAAACTAAATCTTTTAGACAAAAATCGAATTTTTGCCTTTAACTTACTATGATTTCCACGATTCTCTATTTCTCTCAGAACCTCTACGTTATGCTCTGGATAATTTTGTTAAAAATATATGTAACAAATTAGACAATTGGTTCTGAAGATGTCGAGTATATCATCAATGCGCATTTCAGCAAAGAAACTTCGCAAGACATATATACAGGGTGTCCCGCGTAAGACGGACCAAAAGAAAAATATAAGTAGAACACATAAAAGTGAACAAAAATTGTATGGGTCATTTTTCAAACAACCACGTAAAATTTCGAGATATTAATTGAAATAGTTGGACAAATTAGAACGCGCGATGCGATAGGCGGGACATACGGCTCGCAGCGGTCGGCGAAGAAAATGGAAAAACGCACACGTACACGGACGCACACACGGAGCTACTCATTTCAGTATGTCAAAAGGCCCACCTCTCTGGCCTATAAGATAGGCCCGTGAGCAATCATCCATTTTCTTCGTCGGCCGCGGCGAGCTGTATGTCCCACCTGCCGTGTCGCCGCGCTCTGATATGCTCAACTATTTTAATTAATATCTCGAAATTGTACGTGGTTGTTTGAAAAATGGCCTATATAATTTTTGTTCACTTTAATGTGTTCTACTTATATTTTTCTTTTGGTCCGTCTTACG